GTGTGTGTATATAATGCAGTGTATTTGTGTAGTGTGTGTATATAATGCAGTGTATTTGTGTAGTGTGTTTATATAATTCAGTGTATTTGTGTAGTGTGTTTATATAATTCAGTGTGTGTTTGTGCAGTGTGTATATAATGCAGTGTGTGTATTTGTGTAGTGTGTTTATATAATTCAGTGTGTGTTTGTGCAGTGTGTATATAATGCAGTGTGTGTGTTTGTGTAGTGTTTATATAATGCAGTGTTTGTGTGTGTAGTGGGTGTATATAATGCAGTGTGTTTGCATAGTGTGTGTATATAATGCAGTGTAGTGTGTGTTATATAATGCACACTACACAAACACACTGCATTATATACACACACTATACAAACACACACTACATTCACTATACACACACTACACAAATACACACACACTCTGCATTCATTATATACACACACACTTTGCATTTAGTATATACAGCATTCACTTTACGCACACTACCCACACACTACACAAACACTCTGCTTTCATTATATACACACTACACTAATACACACTGCATCCACTACACACACTACAAATACACACTGCATCCACTACACAAACACACATTGCATCCTCCACACACACTACACAAACACACACTGCATCCACAACCCACACACTACACAAACACACACTGCATCCACAACCCACACACTACACACACACACTGCATCCACTACACACACACACTACACAAAGACACACACTGCATCCACTACACACACACTACACAAAGACACACACTGCATCCACTACACACACACACAGCTCCCCTGTCACACTGCATCCACTACACGTGGCATGTATATTTTGTGCATTTACCTTTAGAAATAGTTTTTATTTTCCAAAATGGTAAATGTACAGAATATCGGCAAATTATATCGGCTATCGGCCTGAAAGTTCACAGAATATCGGTATCGGTATCGGCTCTAAAAAATCAATATCGGTCGATCCCTAGTTTTTATTGGGACCTTTTCACAAGCCCCCATTTTCCAATTGGCGAACCAACCCCATAGGATTAGTCACTGGGAAATCCTCAGGAAAACAGACTTATTTTAGAACTATCAGCACCTCACTCCTTGGCCATACCAAGCCATAATTCCCTAATTCCATCCGAGGAATTTTCACTCCAGTACGCCACTATAGACAACGCTATACACACCATCATCACAGCTGGCATAGGTGCTTGGCTCAGTAAAACTGACATCGTCAATGCATTTAAGTTACTACCTATTCGCCCGTCACTATGGCATCTGCATGGTTTAAAATGGAAAGGTGTCTATTATTTTTTTTTTCACAAGACTTACGTTCGGGTCAAAAAGCAGCCCAAAAATATTTGACATCTTTTCCGAAACCTTATTTTGGCTGCTGTTAAACAATTGCAGATGCCAGGCTGTTATACATTATCTGGACGACTTTCTGTTCGTGGAGAATAATTCCTCCTCCCCCAGTGATCTGACAAAGGCCATATCATTTTTTCATTCTTTGGGGGTGCCAGTGTCCCCCAAGAAAACAGAAGGCCCTGACACGTTAGTAAATTTCCTAGGTATCCTACTCGATTCAGTAAACATGGAAGCGAGCTTACCTCTAGGTAAAATTGACAGCATACTACAATCCATTAACAAATTTTTGGTCAATAGGACATGCAATAGGAAGGAATTGCAATCTTTGTTGGAATCGTTGAATTTCTCTATACGAATCATCCCGCAAGGCAGGGCCTTTATTTCTAGACTCCTTTGCCTCCTCCCTCTCATACCAAATGACGTTACTCGTATCAGCTTGGAGGCACAGGCTACAGCTGATTTTGCTAATGTGGTGCAAATTCCTGTTGCAATGGAATGGCAGAAGTATGTTCTTGCCTCCATTGTCGGTCCACTCTCCGGTCATTTGGACAGATGCAGCAGCATCAACGAGTTTTTCTGCAATATTTGGAAACGAGTGGCTTTGGGATGCTTGGCCAGAGGAGGTCCAGCACATTGAAGGCTTCTCACGCACCTCGGCCTTATTTGAGATATACCCCATTGTGGCGGCAGCGGTGGTGTGGGGTCAGTCTTGGGCAGGTAGCTCGGTACGCTGTTTTTCCGACAACCAAGCTACCTGCCACATCTTAAACAAAGGCCGATCGGAGTCTCTAACGATCATGAGATTCATGAGAAGACTGACCTGGCTGGGGGCCTGCAATCACTTTTATTTGGTGTGTTCTCATGTACCAGGGGTCTTTAATACTGCAGCTGACAAATTGTCTCGCTTTGAATTCCAGGCATTCAAAGAGACGTTAGCCACGGCCTCCCCTACAGCCACTGCAGCACCACGTTTTCAGGAGCTGGTGATGGACTGAAAGAATTGGCTAAGCATGGGCTCGCCTTGGCTAGTTTATCCCTGTCAGACACTACTAAACGATCTTACGATAGGGCCTTCAAACTATACAAGAGGTTTATGATAGAACACAACTTGGTGCAGTTTTTTGCCATTTCCACACTGGTAGCTTTTGTTTCGTTTTGTCATCTTAAACTCAAACGGTCACACAACACCATCAAATTATATTTAACCAGCATACAACACCACATGTATACCTTATACCCAGATAACTCTAGTTTCTTCTCTTCTTACACCATTAAAAACATTCTTAAAGGCGTACAGAAATCCAGTAACACTCCTCCATCAACAAGATTACCAGTACGTAAGCAGCTATTTAAGGATATGTCCGACTTGTTGGACACTGCCCCATTTGAACACTATACAAACATGGTAATCAAAACAGCCATCTACTTGGCATATTATGGTTTTCTTAGACCTGGCGAGTTTACCATACACTGACATAAATACGCACAAAACTTCCTCAAACGGTCCCATCTCACCAAACTACACGATCATTATATCTTGTCACTACCAGTTACGAAAACAAGCCAGCTGGGCAAGATAGTACCAGTCACACATTATCCTACTGCAAACAGATGGTGCCCGGTGAAAGTATTGGATACATACCTCCACTCATTACCACCGCAATCTGACATCCCGCTGCTAGTCTTACACAAAGAGGTCTTAACAGCCAAATTCACGCAATACGTCCGCATGTTACTGACCAGACTAGGTCTGAACGCTGGCAACTTTTCTTGCCATTCATTTCGGATAGGGGCAGCCTCCAGCCAAAATATTCCAGTACGTGTAATCAAGTCTTTGGGCCACTGGAAGTCCTCAGCATTTGCTTTGTATATACCTCAACCTGTGTTAGAAATTAGGGCGGCATTTGTTAAACTGTCATTTTTTATTTTTTTTTAATGTAATAACTATTTTCTGGCAAAGACACTGCTTATTTTTGCCCTCTTTATTACAGGCCTACTGCATACGTCGGTTTCAGCACACTTCAACCGACTTGTTCATACCTATGGTTACACCATACTATACTACACATACGTTACGTTACAAGAATAGCACCGAACACAAATGTAAAGGCTTGCCTGGAGTTGTGGGAGGGGCGTGGTGATCCTATTTAAACTCACCCCCCTTTTTCTGCATCACCGTGTAGTTTTGACTTCGGCAGGCCCCACCCACCACTCCCTCAACTCAAGTTAATTTATTATTTTATATCTAGGGTGGGCCCTCTTTATTACAGGCCTACCGCATACGTCTGTTTCGGCACACTTCAACCGACTTGTTCATACCTATGGTTACACCATACTATACATACGTTACGTTACAAGAATAGCACTATATATAATGTGTGTGTAAATATAAATAAAATGTAAACAAAATTTACAAAATTATATGTAATTTTATTCTAACTGTATTTTGATACTAATATATATTTATATCAAAATACACTTAGAATGAAATTATATATATATATGTGTGTATATATATTACAAAATATAGATATCCATATACAAAGTTACATAAATAATTTCATAAATATACACTTAGACTTCAAATATATAAATTTACATATTTAAGTAATTTTTTGATTGCAATTTGAGGGACCTGCCTGACAACCCAGGGTGAAAGTCCACAGAATTTATTTAGCTAGTACTGTATTTAACCCTGTAACTCTGACATCCTAAAACATGTACATTGGGGTTACGGTTTTTCTCTGGAGACTTCGCTGAGCACAAATATTAGTGTTTCAAAACAGTAAAACCTATCACAGCGATGATATTGTCAGTGAAAGTGACATTTTTTGCATTTTTCACACAAACTGCACTTTCACTGATATAATTGTTGATACGTTTTACTGTTTTGAAACACTAACAGTAACAAAATGTACAGGTTTTATAGTGTTTTTGAAAGTTACAGGGTCAAATATAAGGGTCACATTTTTTTTACCACCTGGTTGGTTATGTTGCCTTTGAGAGCATATGGTATCCCAGGAATAAGAATTACCTCCATGATGGCATACCATTTGTAAAAGAAGACAACCCAAGGTATTGTAAATGGGTATTTTCAGTCTTTTTTTAGTAGCCACTTAGTCACAAACACTGGCCAAAGTTAGCTTTCATAATTGTTTTTTGCATTTTTAACACACAAATATAAATGCTAATTTTGGCCAGTGTTTGTGACTAAGTGGCTACTAAAGACTGGACATACCCCATATTGAATACTCTGGGTTGTCTGCTTTAAAAAATATGTACATGTGAGGTGTGATTCAGAGATTTGACAGATAAGTTACAATGTCACTATTGATACATTTTAAAAATATCTTTTGAAATTGCAGTATCCTACTTGTACTTATAGCCCTGTAACTTGCAAAAAACACTGGGTGTTTTAAAACTCAGGTCAGCATATTGAATCTAATTAGCAGTTTTTTTCATTAGCTTTTGTAGGCAAGTAAGATTTTTAAAACAAGTCAAAAAACATGATTTTTTTTTTCAACATTAAAAAAAAAAAAAAAAAAATGTATTTAAGTAATTTGACATGATACAAATAATGGTATGTAACGAAAGCCCTTTTTGTCCTGAATAAAACAATATATAATTTGTATGGGAACCGTAAAGGAGAGAGTAGAAAATTACAGCTAAGCACAAACACCACACAAGTGTTAAAACAGCTGTCACGTCCCCCGCGCCTCCATACAGAGTGGCCGTATTCGATAGCAAAGGCAAATCAGCTTGCCATTCAGCACGCATGTGGAGTGATCCTCGACTGGTGCGGTGTTCTAATGAACGCTGGCCACTGCAGTCCCAAGCAACTTTGTAGCCCTGCCTCCTGACGTCACGAAAACGACGCGCATGCATGTTTTGGGGTCAAAGGCTATGTACAACCAATCATAGCCTTAGGAAGTTTATTTAAACTTAAAATAGCATTTGGTCAGTGCCCTGAAAATCACAGTGAGAAGAGCGGAAGCGCCTGTAGCGGCTGTCAATGAGACAGCCACTAGAAGCTGGATTAACCCATTTGTAAACATAGCAGTTTCTCTAAAACCCTAGATAGACCTGGCACCCAGACCACTTCATTAAGCTGAAGTGGTCTGGCTGCCTATAGGGGTCCTTTAACGTACAACATGGCCTGAAGGTATTAACCATTCAAATTCAGTCAGGGTTCACTTATTTGAGCATTTGGTTACTTTTAAGCATTTGGTCCAACTGATCCTTGGTTTATTTATTTTAGTTAGTTATTCTAATTGCTTGATTAGTGGCTGTCCCCTAACCATCAATAATGGTATATTTGGTCATATGGCGATTTGAGGGTTGCTGAATTCGAATACCCACTGGGAGAATTGCAGTTTGGAAGAAACCGAATATGCAAGTCTAATATTTATATGCTGTAGTTTCTACTCTTTAAAAAAAAATGCAGATAAACAAGTGATTTTTTTTTTTTTTCTCTCTCTCTCGTGGACAATCTGTCCTATCCCTCTCAAACTATTAACCCCTTCAGGACCGGACTGTTTTGGCCATGTTGTACGTTCAGGACCAGAGCTGTTTTAACACTTTTGTGGTGTTTGTGTTTAGCTGTAATTTTCCTCTCTCTTGTTTACTGTTCCCATACAAATTATATATTGGGTTTTTTTCAGGACAAAAAGGGCTTTCTTTACATACCATTATTTGTGTCGTGTGATACAATTTACTTTAAAATATGGTGAAAAATTGAAAAAAACCTTGTTTTTTTACTTTTACTTGAAAAATATTTTACTTATCTACAAAAGCTAGTGAAAAAAACCTGCTAGATTCAAAATTTTGTCCTGAGTTTAAAAACACCTAGTGTTTACATGCTTTTTTGCAAGTTACAGGGCTATAAGTACAAGTAGGATATTGCTGTTTCAAAATATATATTTTTTTAAATTTATCAATAGTGACATTGTAACACTGTTATCTGTCATAAATCTCTGAATCACACCTCACATGTACATTTTTTTTAGACAACTCAGGGTATTAAATATGGGGTATGTCCAGTCTTTTTTTAGGAGCCACTTAGTCACAAACACTGGCCAAAGTTAGCATTTATATTTGTTTGTGTGTTTAAAAATGCAAAAAACAATTATGAACACTAAATTTGGCCAGTGTTTGTGACTAAGGGGCTACTAAAAAAGACTGAAAATACCCCATTTGCAATACCTTGAGTTGTCTTCTTTTACAAATGGTATGCCATTATGGGGGTAATGCTCATTCCTGGGATACCATATGCTCTCAAAGGCAACATAACCAACCAGGCAATTTTCAATGTAAAAAAGGTTACCCTTATATTTGACCCTGTAACTTTCAAAAACACTATAGAACCTGTACATTGGGGGTACTGTTATACTCTGGAGACGTTGCTGAACACAAATATTAGTGTTTCCAAACAGTAAAACGTATCACAACAATATCATCAGTGAAAGTGCCGTTTGTGTGTGAAAAATGCAAAAAAAGTCACTTTCACAGAGATGTTTTACTGTTTTGAAATGCTAATATTTGTGTTCAACAAAGTCTCCAGAGAGAAAAATAACCCCCACGTACAGGTTTTAGGATGTCATGGAAAACTATAGGGTTAAATACAGTTGGCAAATTAAATTCTTTTGGCCTGGGTTGTCAGGCAGGTCCCTAAGTTACTTATTTATGTAAAAATATTTTATAAATATGCATGTAGAATTTAAATATATATATACACACATTTATATATTTGAAGTCTACGTGTATATTTACGAAATTATTTATGTAATTTTGTATATGGATATAATATATTTTTCTTCGTATTTTTTACTTATATATACATAGATGTGTATATATAATTTCATTCTAATTGTATTTTGATATAAATATATTAAAATACAGTTAGAATAAAATTGCATATCTATATAAAAAATTGTAAAAATTTTTTTTTTTAATTTACTTTATATTTTAAAATGAGTGTCATTTAATTCTGAGTGTATTTTTATATTATATGTATATATTAATATAAAAATACACTTGGTGTGTGTGTATATACACACACGATGCAACAAAATTGTTTACTGAAATTTTCTGCCAAAAATTGACGAAATGTAAAAAGATGTAACTTTTTTTTTTTTAAAGAAAATATTATTTTTGTAGTGCCTAGTTTAACAGACATGCTTGCATTAACAATTCAGATGAATATATTTTGCAATGAAAGATAGTAATGATAACATGAAAAGTCAAGATTACTGCACGGGGGGGAGGGGAAGAGAACACTATGGGACCGGGGGGAGGGGAAGAGAACACTATGGGACGGGAGGGAAGCGAGAACACTATGGGACCGGGGAGAGAAGAGAAAACCTATGGGTCGGGAGAGAAGAGAACACCATGGACGGTGGCAGGAAGAGGAACATCATGGGATCGGGGAGAGAAGAGAACACTATGGACGGGGAGAGAGGAAGAGACACTCAGGGACTGGGGAGAGAGAAGTGAACACTATGGGATCTGGGGAGAGAGAAGAGAACACTAAGGGACGCAAAGAGGAGAAGAATATAGGGACGGGGAGAGAAGAGAACACTATGGACGGGGAGAGAAGAGAACACTATGGGACGGGGAGAGAAGGGGGGGAGAGAAGAGAACACTATCTTTTAATGTGAAATCCTGGAATTTGCATATTCTATCCCTTGGTTTATTCTGAAAGAGGAAAATTGCTATGTTTGTAAATGGGTTAATCCAGCCTCCAGTGGCTGTCTCTTGACAGCCGCTAGAGGCGCTTGCGTGCTTCTCACTGTGAAAATCACAGTGAGAAGACGCCAGCGTCCATAGGAAAGCATTGTGAATGCTTTCCTATGGACTGGCTGAATGTGCGTGCCGCTCCTGCTGCGCATGCGCATTCAGCCGAAGAGGAGAGGAGGAGAGCTCCCTGCCCGGCGCTGGAGAAAGAGGTAAGTTTAACCCCTTCTTCCTCCCAGAGCCAGGCGGGAGCGGGACCCTGAGGGTGGGGGCACCCTCAGGGCACTATAGTGCCTGGAAAATGAGTGTTTTCCTGGCACTATAGTGGTCCTTTAAGGACATCGCTTCAGAAGCTGGATTTACCCTTAAGGACACAAGCAATTTTTTTCTGTATTGTGTTAAACTGTAATTTGCATCTCTCTCATTTATTGCACCAACACATTATATACCATGTTTTAGAGGACGAAATGGCTTTAATTTGATGTGACACATACATGTATAAATTCTAATTTATTGAATTAAAAAAAAAACTAACAAATTTTTACAGTTTTGGCAATACTAGCGTGTGCATAATATGTCCAGCTTAGGAGTCATTCAATATAAATTCATTTAAGTGTCTTGACTTACAGAGTACATAATAATGTGTAGGAATTCAGTTTATTATGAAAGTTACAGGTCACAAAAGAGTAAAATAAGATTTCAATGTGAAACTATTTTAGAAGTTTGTATGTTTGTCTTGTAAGTTTAATAGCCGTCACAAAACAAAATTGCCACACTAGTATGTATATATTTATATAAACACATCACAGGTTATTTACCCAAAGTTATTTTGACACTTTTTACATAGCCATTTCACCACCATTTTCTGCTAAATATTGTTGTAAACTTTTTTCAGTTTTTTTGACATTCACACTTGACAAGGATTTTTTAATGTTTATTTGGTAAAGCTGGTAGGTGCTATTCCTGTACAAAATCCCATATTGTGTTTAGCTACATCCGCTGAGTACAACAATATCCCCATTGTATGCATTTGGCACTATTCTGTGAAGTTACAATGTCATATAAACTATTTCAGTTTCTATAGTTAGAATTTTCATAGATTGAGTTGATGTACTTATGTCTCATTTTGGTGCATTATAGCAGTTTGACTGTTCAAATAACCCCACAACGGCCTTCCATTTGAGAAAGAATTTACTCCAGGGTATCTTATATCGTGTATATTATGGAATTTTTTGCTGGGTGCTTTGTATATTTGATATGTGCCGCTATCCTAAAATCCCCCCCAAATTCTGCTTAGTTACATCTTCTGAGTAAAACCATATGCTCAACGTATGACCTAGACCAGGGGTAGGCAACCTTTTAGCAGCACTGTGCCGATATAGGATTCTGATGTCCCGTAGCGTGCCGATCCTATTTTTTTAAATTGAGGTGTGTATGCTGCTGTATTCTGCTTGTTATTTTTACTGTAATTGCTTTGTATTTGTGCGTATATGGGCTATTATATTGTATATGTGCATTAGTAGTTTATGGTATCGTGTATGATACATATGAATGTGGGCTGCTTGTGGAATTTTGTGTGGATGGATATGTCACATTGTGTGTTTGGTAGTGTGTGGGGGCTGTTTGGGGTATTGCATGTGGGATTGTGTGCATGTATGTGGATTGTTAGTGGTGTTGCGTTAGTGGGGATTGTGTGTATGTTTGTGTGTGGGCTGTTTGTATTATTTGTATGAGGAGAGGCTTATTCTGCCGGTCTGTGTATACCTAGCAGTGTGAGTGGCTTGCCTGGGTTCCAGTGGAGACCAGGCTGGCCAGGTACAGGTCAAGGACAGGAGCTGCAACAGCAGCTGCAGGCTGCTCTACTAAAGTGTGGATTCCCATTCACAAGTGCTGGGAGGAACTGATCTGAGGTCACTTCCTCTATGTTCTGCAATGCATAAATTGAGGATTTTCCTACACCACCTTTTCGTATTAGCAGATATCTGAAGTTTCACTGAGACGCCTGATAGGCCAGAGCCTGTTTGGCTCTAGCAGCCTTGAGTGCCGTGGAAAGACACTAGTGCTGTAGGTTGCCTACCCCTGACCTAGACACTATTTTGTGAAGTTACAGAATTTTCATAGATGGTTTTGATGGGTCCATGTTCCATTTTGTAGCATTTTAGCACATTACTTATTCCAACTACCCCGTAAAGGCATACCATTTCTTAAGGAAGACACCACAGGGTGTTTCAAAAGGCATATTTTTTTTACCTAGTCGTGGGATAATTATTTTGTTCGTTTGTACCAAGTACAGTGGTAATAAGCATTATTTTTTTTAATTTTTTTTTAAATTCTTTGTCAGTGCACAAATGTGAGAAACATGGTGTCGTCTTGCCACAACGACATTTGCATACTATAGGTAACAGCGTATTATTATTATTTTATTTATATAGCGCCAACAAATTCCGTAGTATTAAACAACAAATGCAAAGCAGGTAACAAAGGCACAGTTTTAAAATGACATTAACTTGTAGATAGTGGTGATGAGTAGTAGGGGTCTATGTTCAGCTCTCGGAGCGGTCCCAGATGTTGGGGATTGTCCCCCAGAACTGGTGTGGGGCATTAACAGATCCTTAGGCCCCATCTGGTCATCCCGTCTAGCGGTCCATGGAATTTGGGCGGTTAGAAAGACATGCTACCGGTTTCAAAGAGCGATTATGGCCGCCGTCAGCTGTTGGTGGGGTCAGTTAGGGGCGCTATCTCGCTAGTGGTGGCCGGGCAGCATGCTTCCTAGAACGCTAGAGGGGTTCCCTTTATTGGTTCCTAGTGTGATTCACAGCGCCTTATCTATTACCGTCTCTGCCCCAACACCTAATAAGCATTAGTTTTAACTGTATATTTTGCAAACCTTAAGTGTTCTATGGCAATATGTCATATGTTGCTCAGCTATGTTGTCTCTGTACAGCAATAGCCCCATATGTACCTTTGCCAGGTATATGTGGATGTTGAATGGCACATTTCACAGCCAGTTCAGTTTGTTTGTGTTTGTTTTTTTTTGTTTGTTTTTTTATGTTGAGTCCATGTCCCATTTTGGATCATTTTAGTGGATTACTTATTTAAATTACCTCACAAAGGCATACTAGTTATTTAAGAAGACACCCCAGGGTATTTCAAAAAACATATTTTGAACATTAGCGTGGGATCATTCTTTTGCTAGCTTGTATGAAGTGTAGTGGTAATAAGCATTTTTTTTAAACTTTTTTTTAAAAACTTTTAGTAACTTTTTTAAACTTTTCTAAAACTTTTAAAAACATTTTTTTAACTGTTAGCCCCTAACTATCCTAACAGTAAATCCCCTAGTTTCTCCACTAACTTCCTCCCACACTAGCTAAATAAAGTTTTAAAAAGTTAACATTTAACCATCAATGGTTAAAAGAAAAAAACCCAAAAAAAACAGATCACCGGAATCTACTGTGAGCTGAAGTTTTATTACTGCAGGAAGTGGTCAATTGGCAGAGAAAGGGTGAAATTTTATTAGAGCAGGGTAAAGCGGGTCAGGAGTCATTGCAGCACATGTGCTTGCTCTTACTGGTTGTCAGTGATTGCATGGGCACGGATGGCTGCTGCCTGTCTACCTCTGATACTGAGGCAGACTATAGAAGCATTAACCAAACGATCGTCGTGATTGCGGCGATCTGGGCTTCATTTCAGTAAATGACTGAAGTTCTCAGTCATGCATTCTTAAGAGTAGGACTTCAATAACGGACAATTTCATTGCAAAGGGCTTAAGCACTTGTTGGAGTTTTGTTTACATGAACGGATTTTAGTTGCTGTAGCACCTTGCCTTGAGTCATCCAATAACGTTTTTTCTGCAAGTATATTGCAGCAATCATTTGCAAATCCCTTTTTCATTTATGTATACATTTTGGAGTTGGTTTTGCTATCTTTGGCACTTTCTCATTTTCTAGTTTAGCCCATCTAATAGCCTTTTTTATGCATTATTGGCTTATATCTTTTATATAGGATGTCTCTCATTTGTCTGATTTTTAGATTTTTACATGCTTTAACCCCTTAAGGATGGTGGGTGTTCTATGCTGTCCTTGGGGACCCGGCTCTAAACGCTGGCGGGTGGCATAGAACTCCCAAGCCGTCCCATGTACTTACCAGGTCGCCGGCGATCGTGGTGTGGGGACTCACCTGGCAGCCCAGGGAGTCCCCCTGCGTCCATTCTGGCCCCCCTGGGCCATGTGATCGCGAGGACCTCACGATTATATGGACAGCCCCTGCTGCCTGAAAAAAACAAACCACAAATGTTTAAAATTCTCGACTCACAGAAAACAAGAAAAAGTGCATACACAGGGCTACAAAGTTCTCCCTGACTACATGGACACACATTAGCTCCTTAGACTGTAGAACTACAGGACAAACACAATATGCTTGCTGCCCACCACTTACTCTTGTTACGCTATAAATGTAAAACATATGGACTAACTCTGACCTATGGTAATAACAATGCCGTTCACCAATCTGCTGGTTATTATTATATATGATCATCTAACTGTATGTGTATATGTGTATGTGTATATGTGTATATGTGTATGTGTATATGTGTATGTGTATATGTGTATGTATATGTGTATGTATATGTGTATGTATATGTGTATGTATATATATATATGTGTGTATATATATATATATATATATATATATATATATATATATATATATTAATAATTCTACGTATATATTTATGTAATCATTTTACATAGTCATTTTATTAATTACAATTTGCGGGACTTGCCTGACAACCGAGGCAGAAAGTCCAGGGAATTTAATTTGCTAGCACTATATTTAACCCTTTGACTTTCCAAGACCCAATAAAACCTGTACATGGGGGGCACTGTTTTACTCGGGAGACTTCGCTGAACACAAATATTAGTTTCAAAACAGTAAAATTTATTACAACGATGATATCGTCAGAGAAAGTGAAATTTTTGCATTTTTAACACACAAATGGCACTTACACGGATGATATTGTTGTGATAAGTTTTACTGGTTTGAAACACTAATATTTGTGTTCAGCGAAGTCTCCCTAGTATAACAGTACCCCTCATGTACAGGTTTTATGGTGTTTTCAAAAGTTAGTCATATATAAGGCTTGCGTTTTCAGTTTTTTCCCATTGAAATTCGCCAGATTGGTTACGTTGCCTTTGAGACCATATGGTAGCCCAGGTGGCATACCATTTGCAATAGTAGACAACACAAGGTATTGCAAATGGGGTATGTCCAGTCTTTTATAGTAGCCACAAACACTAGCCAAAATTGTTCAAATTCGTTTTTTTGCATTTTTCACACACAAACAAATATTAACACTAACTTTGGCCCGTGTTTGTGACCAAGTGGCTACTAAAAAAAGACTGGACACATACCCCTTGTTGGCGGGCAACGGTGTTTGCGATGGCGCCGTTTCTTTGCTCGCTTCCCTCTGTAGGGTTTGCCTTGATGGCAGGAGCGTGTGGGCAGCGGTATCGGTACATACACTTCTGGGGCTCGTGTTATGGCTTGGTATGCATAGAGTTTTCTCCAGAAGGCTGCAAAGATGGCACTCAGCCGTGCAACAGTGTCATTATTGGTTAATGCGTCGGGTGGTCCAGTAGGTTTTGCTGCCATTTTGGGTTTCGTGAGCTCAGTCTGTGCACGCCGTCAAGGGGGGAGAAGGGTGGGAGAGGGGCGCGAGGGCTTATGAACCTGTTTCTAGCTGTGGAGGGCTGCGGGGGAGCGGCCGCCTCCCCCATGCTGGCCTTGCTTGTAGGCCGCAGGTGTCTCTTCATGGAGTCTCGCCAGTTGGGCTGCTTGTTTGGTGTCGGCAGGTGCCCCTTGGGTTCACCTCTCTGTAAGTGGCACTTTGGTGTTGATTAACCGCTGTTAATTGGCTGATACTTGTTATTTATGTGCAGTTTGAAAAGGATTATTGGCTGCTGTAGGAATCACCTTGCTCGTGAATAATACAAACCACATGGAAGAATATCTCTGAATAAGTTTGTATTGTCATTAAATATGTGTCCTCAGGTTCGATACTACTTTCTCCATTTCGTACTAGTGTGCTACAGCTCTCTTCCTCCATTTAAAAATATTTTTTTCAGCAAACTGGTGTGTTTGTATGTAATGTTTGCAGGGGTCTGTTTGCATGTTGTGTGATTTCTGGAATGTATGCACATACATATTAACACATATACACATTAACACGCAGATACACACAAACACACCGACACATACTCACACCTTGACACATACTGGCATTTACACACACACACACTCAGATACACCTTTTGACACACAGATACAAGCACTTTGATACACACACAGACACACACATACACTGGCACAGACACACACTCTGACACATCCACACACACAGAGACATACATACACACACACACACACACACACTGACACAGGTATGTACACACACATACAAAGCTATAAATGCAGGGTTGTAGATGTGTACAGTGCTAGCGATGGAATGTAGGAGTGTATTTGTGTGCAGTGTTGGCATTAAAATGCTGGGATGTATGCATTACCACACACTCAGTTGCACACATACACACTGACACACAAGTACACATTCCCAAGGATACATACACGCAGATACACTGACAAACACAGCCAGATACACACACTGACACAAACACAGCCAGATACACACAATGACACAAACACAGCCAGATACACACACACATATGTGTAAATTTACATATTTTAATCTCTGCTCTCTAGCAGCTCCTGGACAGCAACTCCCAACAACCTTGGCCAACATAACATTTCAACTCTGTTCTTACATACCTTGGAATTTGTCAAAAGTGACATTTGGAAATGGTGTTCAGCCTTTGATAACACTTTATGCAATAATATTTTAAAATAAATATTTTTTTAAATTTATATTTAATAGGGAACTGTCAGGCTCTTCTAGGATTTGTAACATATAGTTATTCCCAGTGTGTTTCATTACAAACACCAACACATGGGTGTTTGTAATATCTGATGAATAAAAGTGAAATCAGAAATTAGCAAAACAAACAATATTTAGCCACCCTCCTGTCTGCTTACCTTTTGGGTACAGAGGGGTGGCTTCCCTGGGGTCCAGTGGGAGCTTGCTGGCCCAGGCTGATGGGAGTGTGCATTCAGCTGCCCCAGTCTTTCTCCCCCACAATGCTTGCATCCTCTGTGTGGTGTGTGCCCCCTCCCCAGTAGCACTGCATTGGAAGCGATCTGTTCCTACTGGGAGGAAGCAATCTGACCTCACTTCCTCCCAGCATGCCACGGGGAAGAAACAGAATCACAGGGCAGTGTGTGAGGAGGCTAGCTGTGTGTATGTATTCAGCCTCCCCATATTACAGAACAGTATTAAAGGGCCAGGGCCCCTGATAACTTCAGCTGCCTTGGGCCCCCCAGGAGTAACTGGGCCCAGGGCAACTGCCCCTTTTGCCCCTCCTTAAAGACGGCCCTGCCTGCATGCGGAGCTCAGCTGAACACAGGGAGATGAGACCGTGAATAATCTACTGTAATGCACTGGGCTGTCCGATATGTACAAGGTCGTCAAAATGATAAATGAAATATAAATTAAACCAGGGGGCAGGCAACCTTCAGCACTCAAGATGTTGTGGACTACATCTCCTATGTTGCGTTGTCCGCATTATGGAAGACTTAGTCCACAAGATCTGAAGTGCCATAGGTTGCCCACTCCTGAATTAGACTCCTTGATATATTTTAAGTTTGAACACATTTGTTTAGGTTGCAAGAAAATGGTAGGGTAAAGGGGAATATTCCATAGATATTTGTTGATAATTGGAGACATTGTAGTATTATATCAGTAGTCAGGGGAGTTTAGCCAATGTTGGAGAATTGAATAAATATTAGATTTTTAGCTTACACTCAGCAAAGTCCTGGCACCATAACCACTACAGCAAGTTTGAGTGTTCCTTTCAGTGTGACTATTGGAAGTTAAATAGAGAATTGTTTAATATTTTTGACATTTCTCAAATATTACAGGTTTGATAATTCTGTGATGGCGATTGAGCCATAATGACCAGTTTGTAATATGTAATCCATAGATGAGTATTACATTGCGTTTTCTTGATTCTCTATTAGAAAAAACCCAGAGAAATGTTGATTCAGTAGAATGAATGTGTGTGCTGCTTTTAACATAAGGGGTCATGTAGAAAAAATATCGCAAATGGGTTTTATTATGTGTGTCCCAGTCCTTATGTATAAAACGGTTACACCACCTTTATGTATTGGTAACTTTTTCCCCACCATTTCTGCAATGTTCCAAAAAAAATAATTACTTTTCCATGGATTATACAGCATAAGACAGATGATTAACCTATTAATTACCAAGTTAAAACATTGTTGGGGAAAAAACGAACATTTATTTTAAACATTGTTTGCATAACTAGAACTGAACTTAATAAATACAAACATTTGCGTATTGGCCGCTGTTGATACAAACTTACATTGTCTACTCTGTGTTGTCTGGGATATGGCATCAATTGCAATATTCGTTAAATCGCCAATTGACCAGGGGATTAATTCCGGGGTTTCAGTGTTGGGCTATAGATACACTGCACAGCTGGTGGATACATTTTGGAATGTAAGCCTTGTCAATTTTTTTAATTTATTTTTTTAGAAAACATAGTTATGTGTGTGAATAGGCATTGTCAGTAAAGCAATTGTAAACGAACCAGTTTTTCTCACGGTATTGCTATTCTGTGTAAAGGGAGGAATCTCTAATCACTTGATGCATCCAGTGTGCTGGGACCATGTGTGGGAGTCTCTGAGTAGGTGTGATCTGAGGTTCGACTGACAGCAGATACACCCACTGTTGTGCTGGCATTATACACCGCCTCTTCCAGAAAGGAAGTTGCCCCACCCTTCTGCAGAGGCTTCCAAGCTCGGAACGTTGTGTAGTCTGTGCTCTCTTAGCCTAAAGTCTCCAGGTAAGCGAGGGGCCTCCCATTTATACAAACAAAAATAATGTTAATACTATATAAACATTGCTGTGTGCATCCTAGAAGGGTCAGCGACCATAGGTGGGTTAACAGGGAAAGTTAAAATTAATCTCCCCGTCCCCTTCTGCTTCCAGATCTTTCTTCTTCTTGGTATGCACCTCGGGAAATCAACACATAGGTCCATGTTTGTCTTAAATGGCTGGCCAAGTAGATACTAGCTATTGGAACTTCAACTCCCATGATGCTTTGCCAGCTTAAAGCTAGTAAGACATCATTAGACTTGTAGTTTTTTTTTTTCTCTCCAAAAAATTAGAATCTTTCATTTGGCCACACCTGCCTTCTATAGAATGACACATACCTTTCCTCACAGCCACTTTGTGGCAGAGTGATAGGAAAGTGTGTTCTTAAGAGAAATTAGTTAAGCTTGCAGTATAACTTGATTGGACAGTTTTTATGTATAGGCACGTTGTAGCCTAGATGTTGCCGTTAGGATTTCAGTTTGCTACAATTCAGATATGGAAAAACACATGTATCTTACAAACATCCTTATGTAATGTGTTGAAGTATATGTATAAAAGTCCGTTTGGTGGATGTTGTGCACTGCATGTGTAAATTGTGTACACTGCTATGTGTATAGGCAATATGTCTGTGTGAGTGTGTGTGTGTGTGTGTTTGTGCTTTATATATACATATATATGTGCTTGTGTTTTGTACACATTATTTTCTGCAATACAGTTTTTTAATTGTAAGTGAATCCACGTGTCTCAGAATATGTAGGTTTTACATGTAAAACAACCTTTTTATTTGAATTAGAGAAATACTCCAAGAACCATAACAGCTCTAGAACATGGTAGTCAATATGTAACTAGGAGTGCCTTGGAGTCTCCCCAATGTAAGTAGTCAGTCAATTTGCTAACAGATTGATTGCTTACCTGTGAGGTTTTACTCTCTGGTGCAGGAAGTGGGAGCAGCAGGCTCAGAATTGGAGCTACCATTAACTCTCCTGACATCATTAGCTGAGAGCATAAGCTCATCACTCTTAGTCAATAAGTTAAAGGAAAACTCCAGTGCCATGAAAACAATCAGTTTTCCTGACACTGCAGATACCCTCTCACTCCCACCTCCCTTCAGGTCACTTACCTTAGACCTTACCTTACCTCAGGTCGGTGTCGCTCCTCCCAGTAATCACGTCATCCGGTGGGTGAGACTGATCCCGCCGCCGGCTGAGAAAACCTAATGCGCACGCGCATTAGGTCTCCCCATAGGAAAGCATTGAAAAAGATTTTCAATGCTTTCCTATGGGGAATTGAGCGACGCTGGAGGTCCTCACACAGCGTAAGGACGTCCAGTGACACTCTAAAGAAAATCTTTTCTATGAATCAGGAAGTGCCCTCTAGTTGCTGTCTAGTAGACAGCCACTAGAGGTGGTGTCAACCCTGCAATGTAATTATTGCAGTTTATAAAAAAAACTGCAATAATTACAGTTGCAGGGTTAAGAGTAGTGGGAGTTGGCACCAAGACTACTCCAATGGGCAGAAGTGGCCTGGGTGCCTGGAGTGTCTCTTTAAGCCTGCCCTGCTGTTAGGCTAGTGAAGCAATCTTCTGGAAACCAGGTAAGAAGTCAAACCGTTGGAAAACTGATTACTTACATTGGAGGGGGACTTGGGAGTGTTCCCTTAATGCAAGTTAACGTGTTGATTGTAAAGGCATAAACTTCTTGGATTTTCTGGATTTATGTGTAATCTTTCATGGTGGGATGGAAGAGTGTCTCTAACGTTTTTACTTCTGTTGCCCTCATTCACCCCAATGGGAATAGTGGTATCAGTTGCATGAATGTGATTAGAGCATTGTACCACCTGAGAACATTTTATAATTGGCTTCTAAGGTAGCCCTTATGGATAAAGAGTATTTTCAGTCATTTTGAGATTTAATAAACATGTTAAGTTCTTCATACCACTCTTTCTCAAAAGGGAGGAATAGATGTAACGTGGTGAAATTTAGATAATAAAATGGGATTATTTGGTTGACAGGAGAGGGTCTTGACATTGGTAAGAGGTTTGTGAACAGCTGGGTTGTTCGTTATGCAATTCTGTCATTGTTTTGCACACTTAACCAGATCATTAGAGAACGGTGCATCCTCAGAGGTGAACTCTATTTATGGTCTGGGATTACTATCTATATAAACATTTCTGAAGGGCTTGAAGTGTCCTTGACTGTAGATGTGAAAGGTTGGAGGGATATTACTTTTTGCAATTGGTGATGTGAGGGGGGATTTGATGGGCTTTTGTATTAGATTACATTGCAGGGTTTAAATGCCTGTAGTAACTGTCACCCGAACAATAAAGCAGCCCAGTAAAACACTCCATCCACCAGGAGATCATCCAAACTGATGATCTTATGGCCAGTCAGTTGCCTCTCAGATAAGTACTAAGAGGTAGGATTCATGTGTTGCAGTTGCTGCACTGTTCTGGCTCTGCTTCTCATAGAGAAGCGTTAGTTTCTGCTCTGTCCTACATCACAAAGTGATCTGAAAGCGTTGCACCTTTGTAAAAGGTGCAATTTTCTCTTGATGGCTCTCTTATAAAAGCGTGAAGAGGGGACCCCGTTAATACCTTAAAGTACTTTAGGAGTTTGGTGCAGGGTTGTGGAATTGTTAGTCAAAACTTTCAACTCCTAAATTTATGGTACTTGTAACGGACCGTTTTACACATAAGAGGTTAAAAACTGTTTAGGCGATATTCCCCTTTCCAGATGCACCGACAGCTACTGTAAGCACCAATCTTCCTAATGGCAAACTACACAAATTCACCTACTCCCAAACAGGAAACACACGAATACTGGAAACAGCCGAACAGGAAAAGCATACAATCAGCTTATACTCCTGGCAATCAGCATACAATCCATTTCCCCAATAATGAGTTGACACTTCGTTTTGAGGGTCAAGCAGGAACTGATTTACTGGGGCTACCTGCCTGACTTTTATGCAGGTCTCCCACCTGGTGGACACTCCCCTAGGGGACCAGATGGGAAACATATTGGACATTGACCAATCACAGACATACACCTTTAAACACTCCCACAATGCATCACAATCCCTCCTCTCTGTCCTGGAGGTAATTGTGAAATAATTCCATTATCTCCAAGGACAGAGGCAAAACTCCATTAGCCACGTGGCAGACAAAGGACAATAAAAGACATAAAATTACATACTGTTACATTTATCACATAGAACATACACATTCTACCTATCCCCAGATAGCTTAGATCTGAGCGCACGTTACTACCGGATGGCGCTCAGATCACGTACATACAGTTCAATCGCCATGGAGCCAAAGTCTTTCATACAGTCTTTCAGTATACGGCTGGGCTCCATGGCATAGCTATCTGGGGTAGCATGGCTTTAACAGTCTGCAGAAAGCCACGAATCCGCTTTTCTGCAGGGAAAATAAAAGGTTTTAATTGCCGGGCCATAGTCTAAAGGGAGCAGGCAAGCAACCAGGCTCCTCCAGTGGACTGTGGCGAGGCTGGTTTTGCCACAGTAATACACATGGACTCCTTTTATGATATACTGTTTTTAATTATATTAAGACTACCACATTAAAGTTTGCAATATAAGTCATAATTTTAAGCATTAAAAAAAAAAATCTTCCAAAAACTAGGGGTAAGCTAACTGGCTGAACATAAAGTTGTTGATACGTAGAGGAGAAGAGAAAAAGACCTAATGCCTTGATACATGCAGTGTTTTCACCCTTACATGAAACTGGACTATTTGACTTCTGCAGCCTAGCCTAGGCCCACATGTTGCACATTATATAGGGGGTTGACTTATCTGCTGAAAATAGGTCTAAACCTATATCACACCTCTAAGTGTGGGGGTCAATTTATATGATGCATCAAATTATTTGGTGGCATATATGGTACATTTTAGCACTTTTTGCGGTACAGTGACATCTCTGTAGAGGTGACCTGTGTATTTCATATGAATACAAATCTTTGTATTGCCTGTTTATCTTACAACCTGGTTTCCGTATCAAGCTTGTGAAGTCATGTACATAGATAAGAACTGTATGAGGTTACTTTACTGCCCACATATATCCTGTTGGTTTTTAAGGCAATATTTTTAACCTTATTACTCATTCTTAACATGTCAAATATCTGTGCAGATTGAAAAAAAAAAAAATGTAGTCCCTGCTTCCAGTTGGTCTAAATGGAAACGAGTATAAAATATTAAAAGCCCTTCGGCAAATGGACACATCTGTTTGGTTACTGTACTCTGGGCTACTTGATGGCTCTTACGGATTTGTAAAATTTAGTCTCATTGTAATGGTGATGATGGTTTTGATGGTAAGTGGCAAAAGTGATCAATAAGACAAGACAAAATTTTACAAATCCGTAGGAGCCATCAAGTAGCACAGAGTACAGTAACCAAACAGATGTGTACATTTGGGAAGCCAAATCCTTGCTTGCCTGATTTTTTTTTTTTTTTTTTTTCTACCTGCAAGACCACTAGCAATTCAATGGGGTTTTATTTTGTCATACTAGACGTTTTTTCTTAAGGGAGGTACTTTGTGAACATGCTCAGACAATACAGTTAAAAATGTGTGTTCTGTGTAAGAAAAGCTCATTTTAGGCAGACTGCTTCTTAAAGTATGTTGCTGTATCAGGATTGTTTGCCTAGGGCGGTTTGTAATTCACCCTACATTAAATGTAAAACCTGTCTTATTTCAAGTTTCTTCAGTTAGGGCTGTTGGAATAAAATTTATATTTTCTTTGATTGGACCATGATTGGAATGCCTTAAGTCCTTTTTATTTAACGGTTTATGTGATAGAGGGTCAAAGCATTGCACTTAAAGGACCACTATGGTGCCTGGAAAACATACTTGTTTTCCTGCCTCAATAGGGTCCTTGGGTCCCCCTCCCGCTTTGCTCTATGGTGAGGAAGGGGTTAATCCCTTGCCGGCGCTGGGGACTCTCCTCCTCCTTTCCCGTCATCGGCTGAATGCGCATGCGCGGCAAGAGCCGCGCGCACATTCAGCCAGTCTCATAGGAAAGCATTCTCAATGCTTTCCTATGGACGCTGGCATCTTCTCACTATGAAAATCTGTGAGAAGCGCGGAAGTGCCTCTAGCGGCTGTCAATGAGACAGCCACTAGAGGCTGGATTAATCTCTGAAACTGCTATGTTTACAGCAGAAAGGGTTAATCCTAGAGGGACCTGGCACCCAGACCACTTCATTAAGCTGAAGTGGTCTGGGTGCCCATAGTGGTCCTTTAACCGATGTCCTGCGTTACACTGAGTTGCTAAATTTTGACCAAAACGGTTTGATTTAACCAAAATGCAAGATTGTTGTTTGCGCTTGGATCACCAAAACTATTGCTTCTCCCTATCTTTGCCATTCTACATGCATGAGGTGGTGTGTACAGTCATCCTGGAGTAATACTGTGCAAACCATATTTCTAAGTTTCGCTTTTACGCTGTATTCCCACTGATATCAATGTGGACTTAGATTCATACAAGGAAAAGCATTAATTCTCTTCAATTTAAAGCAAAAAAAAAAACTTGGCTCAATACGTAAATATTTATTTATATTTATAATCCAAATGTGATTTATTGGAAACAGAATGCACAAGCCTAGCGACAACCCTCCTTTCACATACCCTACAGCAATCTTCGTCAAACTTCATTTCTGAATTCTGCACTTTTTATTCCCACTATTTCTGTGGTAAAGATTATATTAATAATTAAGTTTAATTTAAAATAATTTTCATTTTTAGTTATCTGAGAACAGCAGTCTGAGAAAACAAATATTATGTTACTGTATTTGTGCTATTTATGCATTCCGTATTAAGCTTTATAAATGATGGAAAAAAAAACAACTCATATTTTAGACATACTTGTTAGTCACTTGCGTTTCTTGTTTTAGTGTTTTCTCTGTTGAACCACATTTCCTTTTTCACTGTTACCAGTTTTGCTTAGTGCAGTAAATACCACAGGGATTATTGGTGAACTGACCAGTGACTATATTATGTTTGCCAAGGGATAGCAATGATTGAAATGTTTTTGCAAATCCAGTCATTGATACAATGGAAAACATAATAGGATGATAAAAGAGTTGATTTGTGGTCTATGCATGATTCATGGCGATACAATGTACTGCGCAAGTGGAACTTTTTTTATTTTATTTTTTATTTACCTACTTTTTTTTAAAACTTCTATTTTCTCTGAACCTATAAAATTAAAATCCTTGTTTAAAATATTGTTTTAAAATTCTTAATTAAAGACACAACAGGTGCTAGCGCTTAAGGAACATTATCGGGTCAGGAATACAATTCCTGACCCTATAGTGTTAAAAACACATGTATGGTTCCAGGATCCCTCCCATCCTTAAATAATAACAATACAGAATTGATGATCTCAGCCAATCACAATGCTTTTGCATAGGAAAGCAATAGATTTGCTAAAATAGTCAATTCTGATGTCACCCAAGGGGACAGAGAGGACCGATGCTGCTCTAGCCAATTTGCATCTCCTCAGAGATGCATTGAATCAATGCATCCCTAAGGGGAAAGTTTAGCATCTCCATGCAGAGCGTGGAGACACTGAACGACCGTGGACCCAGTAAACGCCTCTAGTGCCCAACAAAGGAGTGGCCACTAGAGGAGTCCCAAAGCAGTAATGTAAACCCTGCCCTTTTTTTCTGAAAAGGCAGTGTTTTTTTTAGGTTGCAGAAAAACTGGCCGTGCTCACAGTTCTGGTGACTATAGTGTCCCTTTAAAGACCAACTTCATAGATTATATCACCTTTTACATAGTCCAGGCTTTAATCACTGGTGTCATAAACTGTTCTATGCCAATCACAGACTTACTAAAATGTCTACCAGACAGCCACTAGAGGGACTTCAAGAGGGCATGAGGACATCCAGCGTGCATAGACTCTATAGGAAAGCATTAAAGGGACACTCCAGGCACCCAGACCACTTCTGCCCATTGGAGTGGTCTGGGTGCCAACTCCCACTACTCTTAACCCTGCAAGAGTAATTATTGCAGTTTTTTAATAAACTGCAATAATTACCTTGCGGGGTTAATTCCACCTCTAGTGGCTGTCTACTAGACAGCCACTAGAGGGCACTTCCGTGTCCCTAGCACAGGAAACCTGTGCTAGAGCGTCGCTGGACGTCCTCACGCTGTGTGAGAACCTCCAGCGTGGCTCATTTTCCTATAGAAAAAGCATTGAAAAGCATTTTCAATGCTTTCCTATAGGGAGCTCTAATGCGTGGCATTGCCACACATGCGCATTAGGTCTCCCCGGCCGGTGGGCGGGATCAGTCTTGCCCACCGGCCGACGCAATCACTGGGAGGAGTGGCGGCGAAGGAAGAAGCAGCGACCTGGGACATCGTCGCTGCCTCTGGTAAGTTACTGAAGGGGTTTTCACCCCTTCAGCAACCGGGGATTGGGGGGTGGGAGGGAGAGGGGACCTGCAGTGCCAGGAAAACAGATTGTTTTCCTGGCACTGGAGTTTTCATTTAAAACAATATTTTCCTATAGGGAATCCTAATGCGAGCGCTGCGTTTTCTGCACATGTGCATTAGGTCCCCCCCACCGGCTGATGTCTACGTGGGAGGAGTGTGACCTGATTTCCCTCGGTGCTGGATTCAGTTAGTGGGAGGGGGACCACGCGTGGTGGGGGTTACTGTAGGTACCTATAGTGCCAGGAAAACCGCTTTTTTTCCTGGCACTATAATATCGGTTAATTTTCTGAAGATCTTCAGTATTACTGTATATACAATAAGATTCATCAGAATAGCCAACTAGTGTATCACAGTTCACAACCTCTTAGGATGCAAGGATTACAATGGTGTATTTATACCTTTATTTCACATTCTTAATAAAATACAAATTAAAAAACAAACCCTAGAGTGCACCTTCCCTCAGTGGATTCACAGAGCTATTGTTTTGTACAGTGGTTTGGAAGATATACATACTGTGTCTTGCCTTTAAATTTTTGTAGCTGATATATTTGTTTCTCTTCTATTCTAGATGGCTCAGTGTGTGACCAAAGTCCAGCTGTCAATCTCCTGTACAGACTTGCTGGATAAAGACATTGGTTCCAAGTCAGATCCTCTCTGTGTAGTTCTACAAAGTGTTGGCGATGGAAAGTGGTCAGAGGTAAAGAGGAGAGGGCAGTATTAATTCTTGTATCTATGGTAGGACTGTATAGTCTAGTCTGTTACCTCTGAGTTTTGTCAACATGTATATTTTATTAAGTTGTGTAAATAGCTGTGTAATTTATCATTTATTTTTTTTACAGTGATATAGATTAAGTTTTAATCAGTGGAAAAAAGAGAGATGGACTGGAATAGGCATGGGAAAGTACTTCAGAGACAGGTGTGGATAAGTCTGGGGAAGCAGTGCAGGGAAAGCCTCAACATGGGTAGCAGTACAGAGCATGTGATCAGGCAATAGGGAAGACTTGCAGAGAGCCCGGGGGAAGTTTACATATAACCTAGTTTGTTTTGAATCTAAAAAGACCTGGTTTAGGATGGAGAGCTGTGTGCAGAGACGTCTGTGGTCTGATATAGGCATGAGAGCATGGATGGAGGTAATCTGAGGTATACAGGAGGATAAAAAAAATTTAAGATTTGTTTGATTTAAATTATTCGCCTCATTAAACTGGCAGACTTAGTTCAGTGTAACTTTTTGGATATTTGGATGCTGTCTAATCTGTAGACCGTTATATTGCGGAAGGAGATTGTATTTTTGAAGTCTGAGATTTGTATATTATCTGGTAAACAAACTCCAGCTGGAACTGATGCAAAGCCACTGCCGCAGAGACATACTAGAAATGGCATATTGCACGGTCTGTTGCTCTACATAATTCATTTTCAGCACTTTCAGAGTATAATGGTGTTATGGAAACAGGCTCAGGCACTGAGGGCAGTGGTGTCGTGGAGACGGGCTCAGGCACTGATGGCAGTGGTGTTGTGGAGACGGGCTCAGGCACTGATGGCAGTGGTGTCGTGGAGACGGGTTCGGGCACTGATGGCAGTGGTGTCGTGGAGACGGGCTCGGGCACTGATGGCAGTGGTGTCGTGGAGACGGGCTCGGGCACTGAGGGCCGTGGTGTCGTGGAGACGGGCTCGCACCAGGCCGGTATCGTGGAGACGGCTCGCACCGAGGGCCGAACCCCACACCCAACCCAAACCACCCCCAACCCCACACCCCCAACCCCCCACACACCCAACCCCACACCCCAACCCGCACTGAGGGCCGTGGTGTCGGGAGACGGGCTCGGGCACTGAGGGCCGTGGTGTCGTGGAGACGGGCTCGGGCACTGAGGGCCGTGGTGTCGTGGAGACGGGCTCGGGCACTGAGGGCCGTGGTGTCGTGGAGACGGGCTCGGGCACTGAGGGCCGTGGTGTCGTGGAGACGGGCTCGGGCACGGAGGGCCGTGGTGTCGTGGAGACGGGCTCGGGCACGGAGGGCCGTGGTGTCGTGGAGACGGGCTCGGGCACGGAGGGCCGTGGTGTCGTGGAGACGGGCTCGGGCACGGAGGGCCGTGGTGTCGTGGAGACGGGCTCGGGCACGGAGGGCCGTGGTGTCGTGGAGACGGGCTCGGGCACGGAGGGCCGTGGTGTCGTGGAGACGGGCTCGGGCACGGAGGGCCGTGGTGTCGTGGAGACGGGCTCGGGCACGGAGGGCCGTGGTGTCGTGGAGACGGGCTCGGGCACGGAGGGCCGTGGTGTCGTGGAGACGGGCTCGGGCACGGAGGGCCGTGGTGTCGTGGAGACGGGCTCGGGCACGGAGGGCCGTGGTGTCGTGGAGACGGGCTCGGGCACGGAGGGCCGTGGTGTCGCGGAGAGCTCGAACGAGGGCCGGGTGCCGGAGACGGCTCCGCACGGAGGGTCGTGGTCGCGGAGACGGGTCGGGCACGGAGGGCCGTGGTGTCGGGAGACGGGCTCTCGCACGAGGGCCGCGGGTGTCGTGGAGACGGGTCGCCGGCACGGAGGGCCGTGGTGTCGTGGAGACGGGCTCGGCACGGAGGGCCGTGGTGTCGTGGAGACGGCTCGGGCACGGAGGGCCGTGGTGTCGTGGAGACGGGCTCGGGCACGGAGGGCCGTGGTGTCGTGGAGACGGGCCGGGCACGGAGGCCGTGGTGTCGTGGAGACGGGCTCGGGCACTGAGGGCCGTGGTGTCGTGGAGACGGGCTCGGGCACTGAGGGCCGTGGTGTCGTGGAGACTGGCCCCGGCCCGGAGTGTAGTGGCATTGTGGCGACGGGCCCCGGTGTGTGTGTGTGTGTGTGTGTGTGTCTGTTACTGAGTGTGTCTGTTAGCTAGTGTATGCATATCTGTCAGTGAATGTGTGTGTGTATTTTAGAAGGTTGGGTGGGGGTGGCACGGGGCGGAGGGGGCGTCTGAGTTTTGTCCTGCATAGGGGAGCACAAAACCAGGATACACCATTGGCCTTACTTCAGTAGTGGGGAAAGTAATGGAAACCATGTTAAAAGATAGGATTGTTGAACATCTAAAAATCACATGGATTTCACGATCAGAGACATCAGGGAGATCATGCCAAACTAATCTTATTGATTTTTTTTTGATTGGGTAACTAAAATAATAGATAAGGGTGGTGCAGTAGACGTTGCTTACCTAAATTTAAGTAAGGCTTTTGACACTGTTGGTTTATCAATAAACTGCAATCTTTAAAGGGATACTCCAGGCACCCAGACCACTTCTGCCCATTAGAGTGGTCTGGGTGCCAACTCCCACTTCCCTTAACCCTGTAAGTGTAATTAATGCAGTTTTCATAAACTGGAATATTTACCTTGCAGGGTTAAGTCTTCCTCTAAGTGGCTGTCTATCAGACAGCCACTAGAGGGACTTCCGTGTTCCGGAAGTGTGTAAGGACCTCCAGCCCTGCCAAAATCCTTTCCTATGGGGAGGTCTAATGCACATTAGGTCTAGACGTGCGGAGTATGACCAGAGCTGAGGGACATCGGCACCGGACTCCAGTAAGTCACTAAAGGGGTTTTATCCCCTTCAGCAACTTGGAATTGGGGGATGGGAGGGAGGGGGGCACTACATGGTCCTGCAGTGCCAGGAAAACTAATGTTTTCATGGCACTGGAGAATCCCTCTAAGTTTGGATTCCAATATTGTTGAATGGGTAAGGCAGTGGCTGAGTGACAGGCAACAGAGGGTTGTAGTCAATGGAGTATATTCAAAGCTTGAGCTTGTCACCAGTGGGGTACCTCAGGGATCTGTACTTGGACCCATTCTCTTTAATATTTTTTATTAGTGATATTGCAGAAGATCTTGATGGTAAGGTATGTATTTTTGCTGATGATACGAATATATGTAACAGGGTTGATTTTCCAGGAGGGATAAGACAAATGGCAAATAATTTAGGTAAACTAGAAAAATGGTCAGAGTTGTGGCAACTGACATTTAATGTGGATAAGTGCAAGATAATGCACCTTGGAGGGAAAAACCCAAGGGCAGAGTACAGAATATTTGATAGAGTCCTAACCTCAACATCTGAGGAAAAGGATTTAGGGGTGATTATTACTGATGACTTAAAGGTAGGCAGACAATATAATAGAGCAGCAGGAAATGCTAGCAGAATGCTTGGTTGTATAGGGAGAGGTATTAGCAGTAGAAAGAGGGAAGTGCTCATGCCATTGTACAGAACACTGGTGAGCCCTCACTTGGAGTATTGTACACAGTACTGGAGACCGTATCTTCAGAAGGATATTGATACCTTAGAGAGAGTTCAGAGAAGGGCTACTAAACTGGTTCATGGATTGCAGGATAAAACTTACCAGGAAATGTTAAAGGATCTTAACATGTATAGCTTGGAAGAAAGACGAGACAGGGGGGATATGATAGAAACATTTAAATACATAAAGGGAATCAACACAGTCAAGGAGGAGACCATATTTAAAAGAAAAACTACCACAACAAGAGGACATTGTCTTAAATTAGAGGGGCAAATGATTAAAAATAAAATCCAGGAGGGGCGTGGCCTGCAGCCGGAGATGAACGGACGCCTGTAAGAACAGCTCCGGCAAACGGAGACCTAAAAGGGCTGAAACCAAGCGGTACACCGAGCGTATTATATCTACACTGACCGGAGGAGGTGAGCATCATGTCGCAGAGGCAGAAAAACAAAGCGGAGAAATCCGACCGAGCCGCGTTCTTCCTGACTAAAGCCGCGGCCTCCAAGCTGAGAGAGGGCCAGGAGCCTGCACAAGATGGCGGCGACCAGGAGAGGCGGGAAAACTCCCCTCCTCGCTCACCAGAAGAGCAACCCCTGACCATGGGGGGCATCCGAGCAGTGATGGAGGAATTCACGACCACCATTCAAAGGAACATGAAGAAACAGCTCCAGGAGCTGAAATCTGAATTACACAGAGAGATACAGGAGATAGGTAATCGCACCACACAGATTGAAACCAAACTGGATGAACAAGCTGTAGCTCACAACAGCCTAGCAGATAAGATCCAAGAGCTGGATAATATTTTGGAGGTACACAGAATAAAACTAGCGGACATGGAAGACAGAGCAAGGAGGAATAACCTCAGGTTCCGAGGCATTCCAGAATCTATACAAAACGCTGACCTCCAAAGTTACCTATCAAGCCTATTCCAAGTCCTCGCCCCAGAAATTCACCCTGACCAATTGCTTATCGACAGAGCGCACAGACTACGCAGACCCAAGCACCTACCTCCTACAGCAGAGAGAGATGTAGTTGCAAGAATTCATTTTTTCCACGCCAAAGAAAAAATTGAGAGCCAGTAGGGTCACAAGCCTGCCTGATAAATACAAATCTATAAAAATTTTTGCAGACCTATCGGCTGACACCCTGCATTTTCGGAAATCTCTGGCACCCATCACCTCAATTCTGAGAGAACAGAACGTGAACTACCGCTGGGGATATCCAGCCAAACTCCTGATTTCTCATCAAGACGCGATCCACATGGTTACAGATGTGACTCACGGCATTCGCAAGCTGAAGGATTGGGGCCTGCCTCTCCCACCCATTGGACCAACAAAGTCGGCAAGAATCCCAAGATTGCAGCCGGAATGGTCGACCAAATGAAGCACCTGTGATACACGTAACTATATAGCACACACACCTCTACGAATAATAAAACAGACTGATATAAGACTTTATAATGCCAAAGACACTCTCGTTCCAGAATATGGTACATATATTAATTAACATGGGCACTACAAGCTCTAGACTCATCAAATCAGCAGCATATACAGCTGGTTAGATTTAGACTCTGCCCAATGCGCAATTTGTACTACATGAAGGAATGGACTGCGCATGAGATGTTGTTAGCTACAGACACCTTCACTGCGCTTACCCAGAGAGGGTGTGTCACGAGTATCACAGAATTATATTGGTTATTTTACTGTATGTTCATGTATTAACCACTTAACTAGTTTGTAAGTATTTAGCTTGACATTGCTCTGAGGTCTCTAGGTGAATGACCGACATGTTAGATGGACTCACCTGCACCCCCCCCATTACCCGCATCTACTGGCTAGATTGCGGAACGAGGCCCCAGTTATGGGAGCTTTACTGGGTACACCACCCACAACCTGTTTCGACCCATCTTTACCCCCCCGTACCACCCCACGACATTCAGTACACATGTTACACCCTCAACTGGAACATTCTCGCAAGCATTACCACCACCTGGCATACAATAACAACCCCAGGATACTATTACACATGGTTGGGACACGACTTAGCGTGTTGGGCTTTAGAAATCCTATTAACCCACCATGAAAATTTTGACTTATAATGTAAAAGGGTTGAATACCCCAGGTAAAAGAAGCCTCTTGTTACAAGAGCTTAGGAAACAAAAAATCGATATAGCCTGTGTCCAGGAGACACATCTTAAAAATACTAAGGTCCCCGAATTGTACACCAAACACTTTCCAACCCAATATCACGCGGTCTCGATAAATAAAACCAAGGGGACGTCCATTCTAATCCACAAAGATGTGGCGTTTATAGAACAGGGAAAACTAGTGGACCCACAGGGTAGATATATCATTTTGACAGGCCTCTTCAATAACGCTCAGTACACCCTGGTCTCGGCATACTTCCCTAACACAGGTGCAGAGATATTTCTCCATCGCCTTATGCAGAAAATTGACCAACACAAACTAGGGGGACTAATCCTCTGTGGAGACTTTAATTTTATCACTTCTCCTGAGGAGGACACAACAGCACTCCCTCAGGGCGCAAGGCGAAGACAAATGGTATCAACATGTAAAATGTTAAATACAAAACTTACATTACACAATTTATACGATAGCTGGAGGGTCCTCCACGCTGGTGAGAGGGACTACACGTTCCACTCGAGAGTACACAACACTTACACCCGGATTGATACCTTTTATGTAGACCAACAAACGCTAGCACAAGTTTCGACTTGTACTATTGGTGACATAACCTGGTCGGACCACAGCCCTGTATACCTAGAGCTCTTCGACTCTTTCCAATTTAAGGGGAGGGGGACGTGGCAGTTAAATGAATCATTATTACGAGACAACACATTCATACAACAGGTGAGGACGGACTTAACTGACTATTTCCAGACAAACTCTGGGGGAGACGTGTCTGACCAAACCGTGTGGCTCGCACATAAAGCGGTGGCGCGAGGCCTCTTCATTAGACGCTCCTCACATCTCAAGAAACATAGACAAAAAACCCAACTAGAATGCCAGAAACTGCTAGCAGTAGCGACGACCCAAAACAAATTGAACCCATCTCCGGCGCTGGCTAAACAGGTGCAAACCCTAACAAGTCAATTAACAGAACTGAATGCAGCGAAAACGGCCTATTTTTTACAAAGGTTGAGGGCAACATCCTACCACCATAGTGGAAAAGCTACAAAATACCTAGCCAACCGCCTAAAGGCGAGACTGGCAACGTCCAAAATAGCCCACCTACATACCGCGGCGGGTAAAAAGATACAAAACCCTATGGAAATAACACAAGAGTTCGCTAATTATTATGCTGCCCTCTACAACCTGGGGGATCAGCCTGGCGTGGCCCCCTTAGAGGACGCTTCGATTCGCTCCTACTTAACAGGGCTCCCCCTCCCGAGGCTGGACCAGACCCAGCACTCCGCACTACTGGAACCAATCACAGTAGACGAAGTCCTGGACACCATCAAACAGCTGCCCGCTGGAAAATCTCCGGGGGCTGATGGTTTGTCCAATCTGTACTACAAAACATTTGCAGATATACTTGGCCCGTGGCTGATGCGGACGTTCCAGACGGCGACGGACACGGGCCAACTCCCCTCCGAGATGCTCCTAGCCACAATAGTAACCTTGCCCAAACCCGGGAAACCCCCAGATCAATGCAAAAATTTTAGGCCCATCTCACTGCTAAACTCGGATGCCAAGATCTATGCTAAGATACTAGCCACCAGAATGAGTAAAATTCTTCCAACACTGATACACGATGATCAAACTGGGTTCGTGCTGGGGAGGCAGGGGACGGACAACACCAGAAAGCTATCCCTGGTGTTGGAAAAGATGCGGGGGGCCGGTCCAGGGAGTCTACTACTGGCCTTAGATGCTGAGAAAGCCTTTGACCGCCTGGGCTGGCCCTTCCTCCGCCGGGTGCTGGAAGGGTTCGGATTCCCACACCAATTCATCACCCAGATATTTGCCTTGTACTCACACCCCTCAGCCCAAGTCCTGCAAGCGGGGTTTTTGTCCATGCCGTTCAAAATTACGAATGGCACGAGACAGGGGTGCCCCTTGTCACCCCTACTATACGTACTAGCCTTAGAGCCATTACTTGCAGCGATCAGAACCCACCAAGCAATGGGCGAACGATAAAAATTAGCGCATTCGCGGACGACATCTTGCTGTACATTACAAATCCTGTCAAATCCCTACCTAACATAATGAAACTCATCAAGGAGTACGGGGCGCTGTCCTATTACTCTCTAAATGCCACAAAAACACAAGCATTAGGTTTCCGCCTGGACTCACAAGTCCTGACAAAACTGCAGAGAGAATACCCATTCGAATGGAGAACTGGGAACATAAAATACCTGGGACTAACATTCACCAAAAACCCAAATGATATGTTTCCTTCCAACTATAATGGGGTCTGGAAAGACTGCTCCGGAATCCTGAAAGGCTGGGGACACATTTTCTTATCCTGGGCGGAGCGCATAATAGCACTTAAAATGTCCATATTGCCAAAACTCCAATATGTATTCAGGAACCTCCCATGGAAAGCACCAAACTCATATTTCAAGAATATACAGGCAAAAATGTTACAATTCACTTGGGGCACAGGACGGGCGAGAATCTCTCAAAAAGTATTAATGGCCCCCGCGTGTAAAGGCGGGATGGCGTTCCCACATGTTAAAACATATTACCAAGCTGCGATACTGGCATCGCTGCTTGCACATCTTACCATAAAGGGCCAACCCCAATGGGTACACATGGAAAATCAAGCCATAGCCCCCCTCCGAGTCTCTAACCTAATGTGGCTACGGAAAACCATTAGACCAACCACAACGACCATGCCGTCACAACTTAGCCTAGCACTAAATATCTGGGACCAACACAGATCTCACTTTGAATCGCAGTGTCCACTGTCTCTAGCAACCCCTACTGAGGCACTTACGTATTGTATCCCCACATTCCATGCAACGCCATGGAAAGACAGGGGAGCCACCCACCTAGCCCACCTATACAAAAAGGGCAAACTGCTGCCCTTTCTGGACCTGCGCCGCCTATACAACATACCACCCACATCTCACTACTCACACATCCAGCTACAATCCTTCTTACACAAGCACAATAGAGAACAAGCACAAAAACACGACGGAGGTGAAGAAATCTCGACCTGGGAAAAAATAGGGATTACAGGGATACCCCCACCCAAATTTAAACCACTATCTGAATGCTACAAAAGTATCCACTCATACCAGCCGTTCCATAGCTCTATCCAGGCACAGCACTGGTCCACGGACCTGAATGTTAACATAACAGAACACAAATGGAAACACATAGCAACATCAGTGAGAAAATTGGTGAAATCAGCCCCTCTTCTTGAACAATACCAAAAAACAATCTATAGGTGGTATATGGTGCCCACTCACCTACACAGGCTGTATCCCCACTCGCCCCCGACCTGCTGGAGATGTGCTGGAGACTTGGGCTCAGAACTACATATTTGGTGGAGATGCCCTAAACTAGAGAGGTACTGGAAGGAAGTACGACAACTTATTACCCAAACTACTAAAACGGACATTGCCCTAGAGCCCTCGACATTTCTCTTACTGGACATTCCCCCTGACTTGCCTGCCACGATAAAGAAATTAATCTATCATATATTACTGACAGCACAGAGAGTAATAGCGAGGTCCTGGAAATCTACCAGACCCCCGAGCGTCTCCCACATTATACAAGATGTAAATAAACAACAAATCTATGAAACGCAATACTCTGCTACACACACAAAAACGCAGCGCTGGGGGGGAGCATGGGAGTTGTGGAGCTCCTGGACACACAAGACTACAAGCCACCTGGCACAACAACACCACTAAGACATCAAAGTAACCTCCACACAGGGAGCTAGTTGACATGGGGACAGTACACACATAGCCCAATTGGTAGATATATAAGGAACAGCCACAAGGCGGGATAACGAGGCAGGAAAGGACACTTGGCAGAGCCAGGATAAGACATGAGGGGGCAACAGGATGACTGCAGGAAACGCTAAAAGATTGGTTGACAAAATGCTAGGAGCGGTCAAAGTCAATAGATGTGTGTATGTAGTATAATCCTCAGCCCACCGGGGACTGGCATCATGTATAACCTTGAACTACTAATATTTGCCTGACAACTCTATTAGTATAATTCTTGCTGGGAATGGAATATGTATCTATAATGTAACTGTGTGTCACCCCAACCCCTTCTTTTCTGTACCCTACCCTCCCTAACATTATGACATGTTGAAACTCAATAAACTTCAAATTTCAAAAATAAAAATAAAATCCAGAAGTATTACTTTACTGAGAGGGTAGTGGATGCATGGAATAGCCTTCCAGCTGAAGTGGTAGAGGTTAACACAGTAAAGGAGTTTAAGCATGCGTGGGATAGGCATAAGGCTACCCTAGACTTAAGATAAGGCCAGAGACTAATGAAAGTATTTAGAAAATTGGGCAGAATAGATGGGCCGAATGGTTCTTATCTGCCGTCACATTCTATGTTTCTATGAGACTGGGGATGGATTGCAGAGGAAACCAGGATTAGAAGAGTGAAGTAGTGCTGGGTAGTCTTGGATTTGGCAATCTGAGTAGAGAGAGCCCCGATTTATACTGTAGATAAGTAATGCATGGATTTCCTAATTCAACAAATCAATTAAAAAGTTGAAGTCTCATGTGAGAATGGCTTCCAATATATCCTTGCCAAGGCAGTGACATCTCAACGTTATTGATGCACTACAAATCCCGGGAGTCCGAGATCACAGTGGTGTATTTCTTGTGGTGCTGCAACACTTGCCCTTCTAAACCTTTTCTTCTATTTATAATGATATAATGAAAAGTCCTTTTCAAAGGGCTAACTCACAGAGCTGCAGATTTGAGCAAAGTCTTTAGTCCCTTGGCTTGGATATTGAACTTGCCAAATGTATTTAAAAGGATGCAAGATTGCCAGTTACATTCTAAAAATACAATGCTTTTGAGCTTTGGTCTAATACGGTCTATGGAATTCAGATTCTGACAGCAGTTTCTCTTTCCCTTCTAGTTGGCTCGGACTGAGAAGATCAAGAACTGTCAGAGTCCTGAGTTCTCCACCAAGCCAGTCATAGACTACTATTTTGAGAAAGTGCAGAGCATAAAATTTGGGATCTACGATATTGATAATAAATCTGTGGACCTAAATGACGATGACTTTCTTGGAGGATTTGAATGTACTATTGGTCAGGTAAGATAGGCATATGTGTCTATTTGTTGAAATGCTTTGCAGATTTGTTTACTTCCTCTGGTTTATCATATGCAGCAAAAATCTGTTACCAATGTGTCACACCAAGAAGTGTGTAAAAAGAGGGCCTGTGCACACAACTATTCTTTTATATGGATCTTTTTTGTGCAACAACCTTAGCTTGATTGCATCTGGAAATTGATACATTGGTCATCAGTAAGATAATAAACATTAGAATAAAGTTAAATGACTAATCCTCTCTAGGATAGCTATAGACATACCATATTATTTAGGTGTTTTTAAATAACCCTTGTAATGTTCCTATTGGAATACAATCCGCTTGCTAGTTCATTAGTAAGTCATTGCTTTATATAATGCTCTATATCATACTGCATTCGTAGTCTACTAGAAGTATTGATTATTTTATTTAGAGGTGTGTTTGTGTTTTTTTTCTTTTGTTAAGCGCTAAAGTGGTGCAGGTTACTGTACTATGTCGGTATTTCAAAGCTGAGGGCTTTTAAACCAATCTTATCTACACCCTCTATTAGGACAGGTTAGCCTTGCAGGGTCATAACTAAAGTAAGAATTTAATGAGAATTTTGAATTTCATGTCAAAACAGCTATGCTTTCAGTTTAGTTACTCTAGTCTAGACTCTTATTTGAAATTCTTTGAATTCACTTTAAATTCTCACTCTACTAAAAATCACTGTTAATCTTTAGCATTTTCACTTTAACTTCCATTGTCTGATCACATTGAGTAAATGAGCTGTTCTACAAGTTTGGGGTAGATTTTTCAGAAAGTCATGTCCTCTTGTGGTTCCAAGTTGTGAAGGACCTTAGCGTGTTTTCTCAAGGCTAGAGTTGCTGCTGTCCCCACTGAAAATTCATTTTATTTTTTGTTTTTATAAAAAAAAAATCATTTTATAGTCTTGGAAGTGAATCACTAGTATTCTGCTTGTTTAATTTTCTAGATTGTATCAAATCGCACACTGAAAGGTCCTCTAGAACTAAAGAAAGGGAAACTTGCTGGAAAAGGAACGATTTCTGTAAGTTATTGTACCATTGCATATAGTGTATTTTTTATTATAAACACCAAAACAACTTTATCTGACACTTTATTCTGCATTTGTACTGTTTGCGACCTAAAATCAGGTGGTCATGCTATTTTAGTGTGTCACAATTGGTAGGAACACACCATTCTTCTACATTACTGGCCACAATAAGATAATAATAGTTATAGATATCAATTATTCCTGATTTAGTAATGTACTGAAACCTGTGCTAAGGGAAACATTTAATAGGCAGCAGACATGTACAGCTAAAGCAGTGTAAGATCTGCACATTATTCCTTAAGTCCTATAAGTGGCACTTTTGTGTTTTATGCTTCCTTTTATGCCTCCTCAATACTCACATTACCATTATGCAATTTGTGTAAAAAAATTTAAAAAATGCTGTTACCAGGCTTATCTTTACCGCCCTGTGCATTTTAGGATCCAGTTCAGATTACGGACCCTAACCTTCAAACTCCTCAACAACCCTATTCATCATTAAATTTCCTCTGATTCAAAAGTAAATCCACTTCAGTAAATCAGTCCTGTTAAACCATCATTTCCCTTATTTGTGCAGTGAGATTGCTAAATCTTTTACAGGACTTCTCAAATACTTCTCCGTATCATTCCTATAAATGCCCTAACGCCTAATTCATACTACCCTAATCTCCATGCCTTCTTTCTTCTCTCTTTAACCCTGTAAGGACCAAACTTCTGGAATAAAAGGGAATCATGACATGTCAGACATGTCATGTGTCCTTAAGGGGTTAATAGTCATTGGTCTCTCTTTCTAGTTTCTAGTGCTTCCATAGTCTCCTTTGTGCTAAACTTCTATTTTATGGCTCTCCTTTTGTTTGTTTTCTTTAAAAATGTATCTAGATAAAGCTGCCATAGCAGTCATTCTCCCCTCTTCTTTCACACATTGTTCTTCCTGTTGTGGTTCCCCCACACCCTTTCTCCTAGATTGTAAGGTCATTTGAGCAGGACACTCTTCACAATATAAACATTATTGGAACTCCGTGTTTCCGTATACACTGTCACAGCTCTGGACCTAATTGGTAATTAATGTGCTTCTCTTCTAGATCACTGCGGAAGAGCTCAAAGACACAAGGGTTGTGAATTTAGAAGTAGAAGCCAGGAATTTGGACAAAAAGGTACTATCTAAAAATTAATCATCCGTTTCAAATTTGGAAGTAGTAACTGTGTCAGTGTAGCCTTTTTTGATCTTTATTTAGACGTTTGTTGTATTCTTAATCAAAGCAATAACTGAACAACGGGAAAAAATATAATGACACAGAACAGGTAAGTATAAATGGTTCCCTCAACCGTAAGGTTGTTTTGAGCCACAGTAACTGTTAGTTGTCCCTTCTTGCCGTGCTCTGGCTAGTTAAAAGGAAGTTTCTGTATTTCCGCAGGCAAATTTTGATTGCTGGTCTAACTGGCTTCTGTCACAACAGGAGAAGGTTGACCTTGGTACAGAGCAAACAAGAACTCCATTCTGAATGTCTTAGTTTCCACTCTTCTCTGCAAAGTTGAGTTCTGAATTGCGAATAATCCTGTAATCAGGGGAAAAGAGCTGGTTTGATTACAGATTTATTTACTATAGAAGTAGATGGTGAAGAAAAAAAACAGTGGAGATTGCAGTGGTGGAAAGTGTGAAGAGAAGAGGAAAGACCAGGTGGGCAGAGTTGAGGGGGAGAGAGCATGAAAATAATGCATAGGGAGAGTGTTGTCAAACCTGTTCAATGTTTGTTTTTCTAGCTGTATGAATGAACGGTTTGTTCCATCTTGAGGTATTCACAAATCCGGGTCACCATTTGGCATTGTATTTATCATATCTGTAGTATAAATAGGCTGTCAGCTCCTATTTATGTTTATGCTCAACTCATGCTATGCATTTTTAGAGTGACATGACTTTTATTTCTGTGGAGCAGTGGTCCTCAACCCTCTCCTGAAGGCACACCTAACAGTCTGGGATTTAGGGATTACCTGGTCGTGTCTAAGGTGTTTAAAAAAAAAAAACTAAAAACAAGTTAGACTCAAAGGTGTTTTTTTTTTTTTCTCTTTTTCTAAACACCTTAGAGTCTTGAGTAACTTACCTGCTATTAATTTCCCGTTTGCACTTTTAATGCATTACCGTAATGCATTGATATAGATCTGCTACAGGCTTTAGTGCCCCTTTAACTCCTTAAGGACACAACTTATGGAATAAAAGGGAATCATGACAGTATATTTCCATCATATGTCCTTAAGGGGTTAATACATAGGATTATAGAATAAAGCAAGATTGTTCTTCTTGACGTCTTTAGGACACACTTGGTCTTCAAGGGTTTTCGTTCAGCAACGCCCAAATTGTATGTTCTGATCATATACAATATCATTAATAGAACATCAACATAAGATGCCCCTACAAGCCTCTTCTCATAAATGCAGAACCCTTCACAATGTAAAAACTCTTGTATAAGGTTGATATAAATAATGTATGTAATCTTTTGTAAACAAGTCTGTGTTTTGTTTTTTTCTTCTTTGTTTTTTGTTGTTGTTTTTTCTCAAAGGATTTATTTGGTAAATCAGACCCATTCCTTGAAATCTTCAAACAAGGAGATAGTGGAAACTGGCAGCTGGCCTACAGATCAGAGGTATGATTACAAGCACTTGAAAACTGCATTATTTATACTGATATTGGCCTAGTAATGGCTCTTAATATTTGCAACTGTTTTCTCATGATGCATCAAGCTTCAGTAAAGGCATGGGAGGAAAGAATACTTTGCATAATACTGTAGTGAAACTCCTGGATGTCTTCATAGGACACCGACCAAGATGTAGTATGAAGAACTCACCATGTTTGTTCATTAAGCAGGAAATTAACAGATGACAAAATATCACTCAGGAATATTCCAAATCTTTGCTGTTAACAATAATTAGGATTAATTGCCCTTTATTCTGTTAAACATTCTACAAAAGAAAAAAATCTTAATGATTATACTGACTCCCTTCCCCCATGCTCAGCCATCCTTCGTGTTATATTTATTTATATATATAAACTTTCCCCCCCCCCCCTTGAGTCAGATTTCAGTATCTGCGTGCCTCCATTTTGTTTTAATGCAGTTTGCGCTTCTGAGGCATGAATTTTTAATATTTTTGTGCCTGATGGATTGTGGGTGCATTACCTTGACAATTAAAAAGGAACCTTGCGTATGCTTCGCCCATTGCAAAAGATTGCCAGAGAAAATGCTCTTCATAACAAAAAGCAGTCTCTACTTTTCCTTATCTATAGAAAGAAAACCAAGATAGATTTAATATAAAAAATGTTTTTAAAATGTATGTGTATATGTGTATTTATATACACACACGTTGCATTGTGGGATAAAAACATTGAAGGTGATAGTGCTGCTTTAAATCATCTGCCTATTTTAATGTTAATGTGTTGTTCACACATGGCTGCTCTTTCTCAGGTTATCAAGAACAATCTCAATCCTGTCTGGAAAAAGTTTAGTGTTCCATTGCAGACATTATGTGGAGGAGACCTGAATAAGCCCATCAAGGTAAGCATTTGTGTACCTGTGCTTTGCTGCTGACTGCAGTTAATTGCTTAATGGATTGTACATATGAAACACTCACATTAAGAATTCAGTACGAATTCACAGAATAGGCACATTAACTGCTAGCTTAAGTGTAAAGAATCTCTGATTCACATGTGTATTCTGCTGTCAGGTGTCAGTTAGTGATCATGATGACAACTCCAGTACTGATCTGATAGGAGAATTCGAGTGCACCACTGCCAAGCTGCTGGGAGCTCAAGAAAATGCGGTGAGCCATGTAATCTTTTCTCACTCCGTGCCTCTCTTCCTCTAGGTTCATTGTTCTGATTATGATAGCGATGGCTCTCATGACTTAATAGGGATCTTTGAGACTAACTTGTCTCAGCTGCAGAAGGCTGGAGGAGGGACTCCGGTGAGCTGGATTTTTCTTTTTTTTTCTTCCTATTTAAACCATTGCAAATCAAACTAATTTCCCCTTTCCTGCCTTGGATGCATCAAATGTGCAAGCATCTGATTCAATTATTTTTCAGCTCTGGAATGCATGTATGGTAAAGATTGTTTGCTGATCATGTCCTTTGATTATGGTGTAATGGCCTTGTTACTACACAGGTGTGGGGAGGTAGCATGTGATTTAAAATTAATGAATAAAAAAAATATATCTATATATCAAGAACCATATATATATATTTTTTTTAATAATTCTTTATTTTTATTGTGCTTATGAATATATTTTTAAATACAAGTATTTACAATTTATTTTCCTTGTGTTCAGGTGGAGTTTGAATGCATTAACCCAAAGAAGAAACAAAAGAAGAGTTACAAGAACTCTGGAGTTATCCGTGTCAAATCATGCAAAGTAAGTGTTAGTGCCACAAGTCAAATCTGTAGTTTGTCACATGGTCTGTTATTTAGTTCCATGAGCTTATTAGTAAGTTTCTCAACTTCTTGGTGAGTCACTTACATAGAAGAGTGTTGCTATTTGCTTATGTTTTGGATAAAAGCATACCTTATTTATTTTGTAACAGACACCTTGTGAGAATCTGCTCTCTAAATACCATGCTTTAAAAACTCTATTGAAAAACAAGTCTTTGTAAAACCCAATTGTAATGGCAGCTACGTGGTATTTGGAGGGTAACTCAAAGGAAGAAATCTCTTTATGTATGTTAAAATATACATAGCATATTCCCAGATGTCTCCAACCTTCACAGGCTCTCTTAAAGCTTTTAATGAGAGAGCCTGTTCTGTCTAGTTTCATTTATCAAAAACTATTAGCTTGACTATTTAGTAAGCTAATAGATGCTCCACTGAGGCTTTGGTTTTTACACTGGTTTCATTCATATCTTCAGCAGTTACGTCATGACTGCTGAGCTATATGTCTTGTAACCCTGTTGCTTAAAGGGGCAGGGCTTTAAATTATATATGCATTTATCCACCTGAGGATAATTATTGCAGACTTGCAGAAAACAAGGACATTTCAATTTTGGAAATGTTACCTTTGTTTTCATGTTTAGTGATGTATTTAAAAAAAGATCTGTAACCTCAAGCCTAGAATATCCTTTAAATTGGTGGAAGCAGAAGGCTGCTGCTGCTGCAAAACTCAAACACAAACTGCTGGCTTTAGAGAGGGGTTAAAACATTACTTCTGGAAATTGACAAAAAGAAATACGTAGTCGACAAGAACTGTATTTTCCTCAGGAGATTTTTATGCTTTATTTGGTCTGAACGTTTTACGGTATAAAAAAACTGTATAAAAGACTAAAAGCAATAAACGTGCGTTCGGTTTCCTTGTTAGATCGATGTGGAATATTCCTTCTTGGACTATGTGATGGGTGGCTGTCAGATCAACTTCACGGTGAGTGATTATTCCATTGGCAATAATGGATATTACTATACTGAACTCACTGATAGCTTTCTGGCAGTATAAGAAGATATATCATGTGAGAAATAAAATCAAACTATCAATGCTTCTGTACCATGTTTTAAAAGAACGTTTTGAAAAAACCCCACAAATATTCTCAATCATGTATTTGTTTGTTAAACTCAAAGCAAACAGTGGTGCCCCCTGGTGGTATTTTGTTTTATGCTATCTCCAGTGCCTTCTGTTTAATACATATATATTAAACAGGCATATGATTTACGAATCTATGAAAATAAAGATGGAATCTTAATTTAGAGCACTTAATTAACTTTATCAAAGAAGAGTAGCTATGACTTGTACAAAGATAATGACACAGACTGATATTGTCAGTGAACTCTAATAACATGACTAGAGTGGTAATACCAGAAGTGGTCTGTAATTACTTAAAGCTGTATGCTATGGAGTCACACAAGACATTGACTGGTCATGGCACTGAAGTATTTGTATCTCAAATAGGCCAATAACAGTAATTTTCCGAGTTAATTGTTTAAATTAGGAATGTGTTATTGTTAGGCTGCTGGAGCCTAGATTTAATAATTTAACACCAGGAGATGCAGATTTGTCCCTGTGTTTTTATATATACAATGACGCCACACAGCATGTTGATTGTTATTGGTAGAATGGTCACTGTTAACTGTATGGTCTTATAACACAGGTGGGCATAGACTTCACTGGCTCCAATGGGGATCCTAAGTCTCCGGACTCTCTTCACTACATCAGCCCAAGTGGGGTGAATGAATATCTGACCGCAATCTGGTGTGTAGGGAATGTGGTTCAGGACTATGACTCGTAAGAATCCTAAATATATTTGATATCCTAAATACGTTGATCTACTCTCTTCCTTCTCAATATAATTCAGTGAGCAGTCAATAAAATATGCAGTGTAAGGACAGGTAAATTAGACCTTGCAGTCTAATTACAGATGACTTATTTTATAGAGGGGTGGGGGATTCGGTGACAGAAATTACTATGGCGTACAAGTCAACAGTCAACAGAACAGGTTTTTTTGACAGCCGGTGGGATTAATAAGGCTAATTTTTTTTAAATTTTTTTTTAAGTGTCAATTTCTATTAAAATCTGTGCTTTTTGTAAAATGGAGAAGGTACACTCTTCACATATATTGCATTAACAGAAACGAATTATAAAAACACTGCACATTTAAGATAAAAGCTATACTTCTAAAAATCACTTTGTTACTCTCTCTTTTGCTGCATAAAACCAGTTGGTTTTGGGGGGGCGTGGCCAACCGAGCACCAGAGAAGACGTGCTTAAACAGAGCTCCGTCCCAGAATCTCAAAAAAAAACGTTTTAAATACGGAAAACAGACTCCGAAACACGCTGAGCGACAACTACCCTCACTCAGAAGACACAATGGGGTGAAAAAACAGGAAACCTCGTCTTCCAGAGGCTCCAAAAATGCAGGATATCAGACTATCCTTTGAGAGGCCCACACCGCGGGGCCCAGCCAAAATGGCGCCCGACTTGCCTAGCGAGGATGAGGCACTAGAGAACTATCAGGAGGAGGAGGAAGCCCCGGCCTCACAATCGGAGGGGACCCCCTCTAATGAGTCAGAGTCAGATGAAGACTCTTCGCCGGCAACAAAGAGAGACATTAAAAATCTCCTGCTGGACATGCGACGTGTGTGGAAGGCTGACCTCCTAGACACGCGCACGGAGATAGGGACCCTCAAACAACGGGTCACAGAGATCGAAACAAAAGTAGCAGCTAGGGACCAGAAAGTGCATGACAACCACAACAATCTGCAAGAATTAACAGAGCAGGTACAGAAACTCACCAAGTCGATGTTAGTGATGGAGTCCAGGCACAGAAGGAGGAATATCCGCCTCCGCGGCATCCCAGAGCACGTCGACGGCGATGCAACAATGCCCTTCCTCCGACGCTTCATGGCCTCGCTGGGAATAGGAGGCAACACAGGCTCAGAGGCACTAACAACAGCATTCCGGGTCCGCAAAGCCGCAGCTGCCCCTACAGACGCACCAAGAGACATAATTGCCGCGACCAAGGACATTGCAGTTCGATCGGCGATTATGGCCAAATCAAGAGAGCTGGGAACCATACACTTCGAAGGCTATGACATAGCCATATACGGGGACATCCCTTTTGCCGTCCTCGCAGTCAAGAGACAGTTAACACCGGTGGCCAGACAGCTGAGAGAGGCGTTGATCAGATATCGGTGGGGGGTGGATGGCTCCCTGCAGGTAACACAAGGAAACGACGTACTCACCCTCTCTTCTCCTGAGGACAAAGAGACTTTCCTCCAAAGACTGAAACTGAACGCAAAGATCCCAGTGGAAGCCCAGAAGTTGAAAATAGATACACAGGGACCCAACAGAGTTCACCCATTACACCCCCAGGCCCGACTCCTAGCCAAACCACGCCACTTGGAGACACACCACACTCATAGAGGCCCTCCGAGGTTACCTTACCAGTAACTAGAAGCGAGACACACAATAGTTGCTCACACTTCATAAATACGTACCCATTTGATGCCTGGTAAGCAGTAGCTAAACCCTCTCAACGACCTAAACACAGAGATAACTTCCCATGATATAATGGAGGGGCCAAGCTGAGACCGCATTAGAGGTACTCCTGCTTTTCAACCCATATAGCTTAATATAAACAACACCACACAGCGATCCAAATATCAGCCACTAGTACACATGTTGTCCTATCGTTATTTCAACTCATTAGAGTTGCTGTGTAAACTTTATAACTTTATATATTGTGTACCAGATGTATTTTACATTGTGAAAACACCAATAAAATACAAATATAAAAAAAAAAAAAAACAGTTGGTTTTTTTAATCGCTCACATGCAATAAGGCAGTTGCAACACTATATATTTTTTTTTCCTGCTTTAAAATTCTTGAAATAGTTCAGCTTTTCTATTGTGTACAAGTAATGTCTTTCAGTGGGTAGGTAGTTTTTTTTCCACTAGTAATATTGCTTATTTGAGACATTATACTGTGTGACTAGCCACCAAATCACACGTGTTTCAACACTGGACATGCACGTTTATAGGGCCCAAATACTCTAAAGCATTTCACATTTTGTGAAATGTATTGAACTCCCTGAACCAAAAACAAATAGAACTTGCCTCTTGTTAAGTCCGCTGCGGGATGTGGCATTATTTAGAAGTCTTTGAGCTTTTCCTGCGTAAGTAAATACTCCAGTATAACGTGGAACGTTATTTGCCAGTTACTGATGCAAATTGCATTATTACATATTATACTTATGCCTTAGATTACTTTAGCTTCATTAGGTCTTGGCTCCATTCTGAATAGGCACTTATTAAGCTGGTGTAAAACAAAGAGAGCGGGGTTGTATGAAGTAATATAAAGATGCTAGATTCGATTCACTAAAAGGTCTTTAACATATACCTTTACAAGGCACAGTACTTAGAGTATGTATTTTATCCACAGAGACAAACAATTCCCAGCATTTGGATTTGGTGCTCAAGTGCCTCCACAATGGCAGGTAAGGGTCATGAGTTTTTTTTTTTTGTATTTGTATTACATTGGCTTCCTTTAAGAGAGTCCTGTACTGCATGGCAAAGGAAAGATCTGGACGTCTCCTATAGTACTCTTCTCCAGCATAGATTATTCGTGGAGCGAAGTAGCGTAGACGCCATATTCTTATCCAAGGCCTGAAGGAATGTGGCAAAATGTACATGTACTGTCATAAGGAAATACATCATAGAGTGGTTTATAATTGTTCATAGAGCGGTTTATAATTGTTCATAGAGCTTTACAATGGTGAACACTTTGCTATGTGTTAAGAGTAAAACACATTTATAAAATTAAACATAACAGTAATTATTTTGTTTACATGTATAAAATTAGCATTTTTAAGATTTGAACGTACATAACGATAACTAAATAGCGATACAGATCAGAATCCATGAGCGAAATACAATGTGCATACTGACATGTTGTTTGATTTTTAATTCTCAGGTTTCGCATGAGTTTGCCTTAAACTTCAACCCCAACAACCCCTATTGTGCAGGTACGATTCTAGTCTGCACATTGTAACTATGATTTCATTTGCATAACACCATGAATATTTCAATGCTGTAGACCAATACAGAAGTGCAATTTTATTTTTAAATCCCTGTTTGTCAAAAGAAAAGAACACAGGCTTGCAAAAACTAAATAAGCTAGTCCAGCAGGTTGAAGATAGTTTGTTTATTTAAACTGTGGTTGCTAGTACGTACTGGCACCATATAACTTCAAAATGCTGCACATGAATATTATTTATTCATGGTGTTTATTTTTTTGTACAGACCTCTGTAACTCCTTGATCTAGCTCTGGGATTATCATCAGTTTGGCAGGATTCACTTTATCTGTGTTTTACTGTTGTGTACTTTTGTGGTGCAGAGACCTCTGCAGGAACAATTTAAAAGTGCACCAATGCTTGTATAACCACTACAGACAAGTGAAGGCCTTTCATTCTCCCTGAACCTAAATGGGAAATAAGCTAAGCTCAGGGGCGGACTGACCACTCATGGCCCTCGGGCAGTAGGTGTTCAAGGGCCCCCCGTCCTGGTACAAGGTTTTTTGGCTACTACTCTTCTCCCCCTTCTTTCTGCTGCTTTCACACACATATTATGTGTAGGCTGCCCAGCACACAGAATGGCTGTGTGAGAGCCATATAGCCCTGACTCCCAAACCTGTGGAGCCCCCCAAAATGGCCAGATTTACTTTTAAGTGGTTAATCCATCCAGAAACAGTGTTTTAATATACACTATTTTTAGATGGAGTAACCCTTGCTGGCGTGCCTCCCCAGCAATTAAAAAAAAGAAAGCAAATTTAATTACACACTTCCACTGATTTTGCTGAGGACATCACAAGCAGCGTCCCCACATGTGCAACCATACAAGTAGCCACATGTGTTTGGAGCCTACCTGTGAGGTAGCGTGTGTGGGGATGCTGCTAGTGATGTTGTGTTGGATTAATTGGTTCTCTTGTTTTACCTATTGTACAACGCTGCAGAATATGTTGATGCTATATACGTCATTGTAATAATTGTGTGTGTGTGTAAGCTGTGTACAATATTGCAATGGTGGGTATGCTGTTTGTGATGTGTATTTGTAGGGAGGCTGCATGTGGTTTTGTATGTGTGGGGATGCTGCTTGTTGAATTGTGTCTATACAGTGAGGCTCCTTGTGGGTTTTTGCGTTTGTTAATGGGGCTATTTGCAGTGCAGTATGTGAGTGGGCAGGGCTGGTTGTGTTGCAGTGTGTGTGTGGTATAGAATCTGTAGTAGGCATCTCGTTGTTACTGGGGCTCTAGTGTGTGCATGTTTGGATAATAGAGGCTCTACTGTGTATAAGTAGGATAGTGGCTGAAGTAGGCGTGGGGCTGGACAGAGTATGAGGTGGGACATAGGAGCTGCGGTGAGCGCAGGAGGGGACATAGGAGCTGCGGTGAGCGCAGGAGGGGACATAGGAGCTGTGGTGGGTACTGAAAGGGATCGGAGATGGAAACAACACAAGAAAGGTGTGGAAATCAGTGGCGCTTATTGATAAAGTGAAAATATTCCGCTGAGCTGCTAAGAAGCACTCAGTGGGTACTCCAAAAAACCCACTATAACATGCAAATACAAAGAGAAAACCAATTACCAAAAGTGGGTCGGTATGAAAACTTCCCCACTACTTGGTAAGAGTGTAGCGCTATAAACTGCCATACCAACCCCCTCTGATTCCCCCCCCGCACCCCCCTGAGGGGTCTGCCCACTGAGAAACAACTAGTTTAGGAATATAATGAGGGTGCTGGACTATCCAGGGAGTTCAGTTATTCATTTTTTCTTTGGTCAGCAACTTCTAGGAGACCTATACCATCTAAGACTCCCACAAGAATTATATATGGGGTAAATACATTTAAGGAATTTCTTGTTTTCTCCTATTTTATGTACTGTTTTGCAATTTATCTGTATGTCATTTATTTCTGTATTTTTGTACACAGCACTGTGAATCTTTTTTGTCAGATTAAATGTTTACTTAATCAGCTTGTCTGTTTTCTATGAGCTTCACTCTCCAGAGGAAAGCTCGGGTAAACACGTTACCAAAAAGGGTTAATTATGTGTTTGATCAGTAAAAGTAGAACTGTGATTCTATAATTCTCCTGTGTGTGGGGTAACCTAAGACGCCTGGGTTTAAAGTCTTTGTGGTGGCAGTAAAGTGTGTACTAGGGGTTTAGTGTAGAAGGTATTGCAAGGGTTAATTGAGTGGTTGCTGGGACTAGCAACAGGTAACCAGGGGTCTGGTGTCATTAACCCTGTCACTTCCACACTCTCCCCACTGTCTCGGCTGGGCCTATAGCCCACGCTCATGACAGTGCCTTTAAGGTAGACAGCAGTACCGTATTCCTTTGATCTGTTCCTCCCCTTTCCTCTTGACCAGTATGGATCTCCAGGAAAAAATGGAAGAAAGAAATATATATTTCACTGTGCATCTTGGGTTTAGTAAAATCTGCACCCAGAAGTTTTTTTTTTCCTTCCATTTTTTCCTGTAGATCCATATTGATCCATACTCAGAGATCTCCTCAGCCAGAGCATGGCTGTGCTGCCGGGCCTCGGTCCATGACCGATCTGCCCGATCTGTCAGTCCACCCCTGGCTAAGCTATTCTATCCAATTTGAGCTACTTGCGGTTCAGGGACAATTCACAAACTATCTTCCTATCTTATCTTACAAATTATCTATGAAAATTTGCAATTACATTTTAAGTTTTCATAATTTCTCAGTTTAGTAAATAAACTTCAATATTTATCTGAATCTGACTGTCATTCTGGGGTCAAGAAGGAATTTTTTTCCTAGTTTGTTGCAAAATTGGAAGTGTTTCAAACTGGTTTTTTTTGCCTTCTTTTGGATCAACAGCAAAAAACAAATGTGAGGAAGGCTGAACTTGATGGCAGCAATTCTCTTTTCAGCTCTGTAACTATGTAACCTGTGTTCCTGCCTATAAACACAGGTAGTTCCCAGTTTTCTTAGAATGTGTATGTACATCCTGAATGCCAAAACTAGTGAGCACTTTATAAAGTGTCTGTCAGGTAGTTTTGATTTGTTTTGGTAAATTTACGTCCTAAGCAAATACATGTTTATTTGATAATCATGACAGGTGTTCAGGGCGTAGTGGATGCTTATCGCCAAGCCTTGCCACAGGTCCGTCTCTATGGCCCAACAAACTTCTCACCAATTATCAACCATGTGACACGATTTGCATATAGTGCAGCACAACAGAAAACTGCATCTGTAAGTATGTAACTGTATGTGTATTGTAAGCGAGACTTGTACATAGCTTTTAAAGGAACACTCAAAGTGCCCTCCCAGAAGTCAATCTGTTTAAGATTAGTTTGGAATCTTAACTGCCCTTTGGGCATCTGCTGATACTGCCCCCTGCAAAGAGAACTAGTGTAGCTCTGCTGAACTAAGCAGAGCTGTTCAGGTCTGCTCTCCTTGACGAAGAGCGTTGAGTGAGTGCTCCTCTGTATTGGGCAGATGCAGAATTTTGACTACTCTGGCATGGTTTAAAGGCACACCATGCTGTTTATATTGCATAGAGTATTTCAAGATGTGCAGGTAACTTTAATTTCTCATGATTATTAAAGTATCTCTCTAACCCTTTGCTACCAAACACTTTTTTTGGTTTTAAATAAATGTTACACCTATATTTGTGCAAGTATAGGATGCATAGCTATAAAATAAACGCATAATAAAACAGGTGATTTGTGTACAGACTGCTAGTCAAACATATATTTTTGTTAATATAAAAGTATTTTCCCATTGAAGTTGTTAATATGTAAGTCAGGTTTATTTAGCCAGTGGTCAGTCTCTGTGATCAAGTAGAAATGGCATTTAAACCTTCAGAATGATGGGAACATAAAAACATTTCTCATTAAAATGAAGCTTTTTTTTGTTCTACATTTCACTGTTAAAATCTAAAGTTGCCCTAATAAGATCATGCTTATTTTGTTTTATTTTGTAAAGCATGTTTGTAGATGGCATGTTATGGTTTTTGTTATTGACTTTTATTTTATGTCTTTTCTTGCTTTTCAGCAATACTTTGTCCTTCTAATCATCACTGATGGGGAGATCACAGATCTGAATGACACCCGAAATGCCATTGTCCAAGCCTCAAAACTTCCGATGTCTATTATCATCATTGGTGTTGGAAGTGCAGATTTCAAAGCTATGGAATTCCTGGATGGGGACAATGGGGTCTTGAAGTCTGCGAGTGGGGAAGCAGCTGCAAGAGACATTGTACAGTTTGTCCCGTTTCGGAACTTTCAAAATGTAAGCAGATAGCTATTAATATTCTGGCCTATACGGTTTTGTTCTAATATTATACCATTATTACTAAACGTCATCTGCTGCTTAAAGGCCAAGCAGGCATAGAATCGAGAGATGTTTTGATAATTTCAGCAGTTAATAACATAGGATGAGTGCTATCACTCTATAAGCTGACTCTGACTCTAGATTCACAGCCTGAGTCAGTTTTGTTCACAAGGCTATGTGATTCACTGTACCACTGACTATGCAGCAAAGTTTGTGTGCTCATGTTTGACAGGTCTTTGAGGGCAAAGGTTGAATTTAAATTCCAAATCACTGCAGTTCTGTAAGCCATGGTATGCGGTGTCAGAGGAACAGTGCATCATAATGCATTGTGCATCGTTTGGTGCTTAGAATGACCTTTGAACCCCTCAAATGGGGCATTGACTCAAATTTTTCTGCTCTTATTTAACTTTTATGTGCTGCTTCTATTTGGATACTCTTACATTTTGTTTAGCCAGTTTTTGTTCTACTGCTATGCATATTCATCAACTTTTTTTTTTTTAAAGCCTCTGACTAAATTCTCTCCATAATGTGTGGCATACATTGTCATTCTATTTTTTCCCCTCTCTGAACTTGTACTGTAAGTGATCAAGTGAGGCTGACTATTGGATCATCAAGCATGTGGAGACCACAAATGGAAATACAGATTTTATTTTCTGATTAATATGTTCTCACTTATTTTTAGCAATGTGTCTGCATATTGACATATAGGTAATTTTAGGAATAATGCATATTTACAGCAATGATTGAACGGAGGACATCCGCTAATGTGTGGATGCCAAGGTCTACTAAGGTTTGGTATTAAAATGTAATGTTTTCATTAAAGGGTTACAAATTGCGGGCACCATGACGAATTCTAAATGCATAAGTGGTTGGAGTGTGTGTGTGTGTGTGTGTGTGTTGGTTTTTTGTTTTGTTTTTGTTTTGTTTTTTATTATATTTTGCTTTTTTGTGCCCTTTTTAATTACACCCCTGACACACGTGACTTAGGCAGCCTGGTTGCCTAATGTTAATTGTGTGCAAAAATGTCTGTCATCAGCACACACTGTGTGCTGGCAACAGACCACTTTTACCCTTGCTGGGAGCGCGTCTGCAAGTGGAGGCATCAATGTCTCTCTCGTCCTCTCTCCCCTTTTTGGCTCAGTGTGCGCATGTGCTCTGAGCTAATGAGAACTGTCAAATAAAATGCATCTCTTTGAGAAGCATTTGATTGGACCATGGGTATGGAAACCGTGATGTCAGATGTCTCTTAAGTGGAAGATTGAACGGCACTGGATTCCAGGTAAGTTTATTTATTAATTTACTCTTTTGGAGTTTAAAAAAGGAAGTGGACATGGTTATTAGTGCCCAATATGGCAGTATAGATTTAAAAAAAAAAAAATACTAAGGGTTATAGTAACCCTTTAAAATTGCCAGCATACGTGTAGTTTGACAGTTCTATACACCTGAAATGTATTACTTCTCTACCAATATGTCCACAGTACCTGCCTGTTTTGGCCCTACACATTGTACAGCATATATAGCCACCAGCTAGGCACTGTGGCAAGAAACATGCACACCCCTAGCTGGCTATGCCAATGTATTGATTTTGTAGGTTTTACTACTGTGCCAAAGTGTATCTTGAGTAGGCCTACTGAACATTTATTACATACTTTCCTGACAGCCACCAGCACTCGGTGCACCACAAAACTTTTCCAGAAAAGCATTCGGTCTAAAAGACAGAACTGCAAAACCTCCATAATCCTCAGATTGAGTTAAGTACGAGGCACAGTAGAAAACTAGGAGTGAGAAGGGTAAAAATAAATCCTTAAAATTCATAAACACAACACACCAAAAGCAATATAGCGTTAAACTATGCATGCAAGCATAAAATGGTGCAGTTTTAAATAAATAGATTTCATATTTAAGTGCAACAAGCTAAATCAGACATCTGCTTGTGTATGGTTCAGTTTGAAAATTCAATAGATAAAATTGTAAGAATCCCTTCAATTACTCACCCTCTCTCCCCCATGGATTCCACATGTAAGCAAGCTAAAATGAAATGTAGGAATGTAATTAAAGTGTATGTTTGGTAATTTAAATATCACAATGTATAGATAAAATGTTACTACTTTCAAACTGTCACAATTTCATATTTGTATAACAAGTGCTCTAAATATGTTTTTTGGAACAAAAACCCTGAATGCATTAAAAAAACAAGATGGCATTGCTTTTGTTTACTGTTAATTTTTTTTAATTTTTTTTGCTCCAGGCACCCCGAGAAGCTCTAACTCAAGCAGTTCTGGCTGAAGTCCCCAAACAGCTGGTCTCTTATTTCAAGTTGCTGGGACTGACCCCTTCGAAGCCTCCACAACAGACAACCACTTAGGCGATTTCAACCAGGACATCACGCTGCTCCTCTAGTAATCATACTTAGAGCATTCATAAATCTCTATATCATTCCCTTTTCCTAAACCTCTATATTTTGGTGAATTTGAATCCTATTGCAATATATAATTCTAGTAAGACAAGCATTTTAACTTGGTGGACCTGACAGGAAGGGATGATTTATTCTAAATCCACACTTGAAGCTGCTTTGACCTTTCCTGTAATCTTCTATTTGCATGTATAGCTTATATGGGCTATATGGGTATCCCATCATCAATCTCTAGATATTTTCTACATTGTGGTAGTAGCACAATCAATTGTTTAGATTAAAACAGTGGTCTTTCTTCATTTTGGAATATGTATGAACAAGTAATTGATCCTCCATGGTCATTTGTCCTAAAAGATTCTTGGCCTGTACACGAAAGATGGCATTTTATCAAATAGAGCTGCTATATTGAATTCCCATCTCTCAACAATTCTGTTAAAGAGCCTGTGACCTTGAATTAATTTTTTTTTTTTTCCTTGACAGAATTTAGTTTAAGTAAACACTTGGAATTTTGTGAAAGTACTTGGAAATAGATTGGATGTCCCTTGTTGCATGAGCAACTACCAAAACTTGCTTGTTAACTAGTATCTTACAAATAATGTTCCAAATGGGTAAACTGAGCGTGATCTTCTGTGAGCTACGGAGAGCGAGAAAATATGATGTATGTTTCAAGAGAATTAAGTTTAACTGGCTTCCTTAATAGTGCTATTTGTTCCATTAATGTCAAAGCAAAAAAGTGATATTGATTGAAAAGAGTATTCTAACTAAAATTTGGAGTACATTTAAACCGTTTTCTGTTTGGTTAGAGGCTCTGTTTTGAATTTCCCATCACCACTCATGCCAAATGCAAATGAATTCTACCATTTTGCAGTGCTATATTTGCATACATTGCTGTAAGATTTTAATCGCCTATAGAATTAAACACCCTATTTTGTCCTCTTAAGCTATACATACATATATTTGCCTGGTATTGGTTACAACCTAAAGATTTTTTTTTATTAAGCATGAACATAGTCTGTATGATATAGTTTTGGAATGGCTGTTAAGATGCATCTCAGTGAGATGTCTAAAAATACCACTCAGGAACTGGTTTTCTTGCACACGTACACAGCAATTAGTCACTGATAAATACTGGGCTCTGAAAAGAGTTGGGAGTAGAGATATATAAAATGTAGACACTCTTTCGCCTTCATATGCCAGGAGTTATTTATTTTTATTTTTTTTATATATATTTTTAAAATTTTTTTTACAACTACCTTACCCGGATATAATTTGGTGATGTAATGTTTAAGCCTGCAAATGGCTCAAAGACGTTAAAATATAATTTGGTAATTAAAAAGACCACGCAGATATCACATTCAATGGCTATTTGAAATAGTAAAAAGAAGGTGCCAAATTATTTTGCTTTGTCTCTTCAATTATGTTGCTTGCAACACCATATTCCTTTGGTGCAATATTTAAAAACCTAGCCATTGATGGTGCTAGAACTTCATCCTTCATTTGGGGCTCCTGCTCCCCCCTCCTCATTAGACCAAAAAAAAATGCATGAAATGAATGTGGTGTTGCAAAGGAATGAATAAGGTAGATGACCCTTTTCTGATTGAATCATGTAATATCACAGGATGTGGTTTTTCTTTTTTGGTTTTTGTTTACATGGAATCCCTGAGAGTAAAGTTAACCGAATCTGTTGGTACGCACATAAACACGTTAATGGCTTGCTCTTGGTGTACAGAGACCTTTTTCTTCAAACAAGTTTTCCAATTTACAGGAATTCAGGCACTTAATCATAATCAAGTCACTTATCTCGAAGCCTTGTGTTGCAGTGTTCCCTTGAAAGATTTGATGCCATATATTTTTTTCTCCAATCTTTGATATTCTGTTTTGCTGTGTTTCAAGCACTTTAGATCTGTTTGAATTAATTGTCAAATTACAACATTAGCTAATTGCTAAGCTTTTGCCGTGGAATCCAATGCAATGTTTCTGGTTTTTGCATATTTAGCACTTTGCACACAATTTATTCTTGTTTTCATAACTCTGGCTCTTAGAAGTTTATTTCTTACACATGCTTAACCTCTGAAATCTATTGTCTTCCTATGCTTGATAGGTTAAGAGTGCCTTATTTCTGCTGTGCCTGCTACCAGAGATGTTGGCCAATGCCTTTCTTGTTCTGCTTTGCATTGCATTGCAGGGTCCCTGTTACAATTAACCTATGCAATATTTTGCTGTGATAAAATGGCTGTTATTGTTTTTGCCAAAGTACATATTTTTTATATGTCCCTTGTACCTTGACATGTTTGTGTTGCTCGCAATATAGTAATTACAGAATCTATTTCTACGTGTCAGGATCTGCAATATAGAGGATCATGTAATCCAGTTTTTCTGTACATCTATGTATGTATTCAGTTGTCAAGTTTGTATTTTGTTTTTGTAGATTTTTACTTTTTTGTGAAAATATTCAAATAAATCTTTAAAAACCTCATGCATATGTGTTATTTATGTAAACAAGCATACTCGTAAGACCACTGCTTTAAAATGATGGGCTATATTTATTTTTTTTATTGATGATGACCTCAACCAGACAAATTGTGAACATTGGGCCATCTGAGTGCATTCAGATTATACAGTGGGAGAAAGAAGGGATGGACTCCTCGAGCCAGAATATTAACGGATCAGCATATACCGACTCGTAGGACTCAACGCGCATCATGAAATGAGCTGTTCTAGGGGTTCAAACATTCTGATGGACTCTGGTTGTAAACTTGTCCTTCAAGATTGTATTCCTAGCTTTGAGATCCACCAACTAAGGTAGAGAGGACACAGAGAGCCTCTCTGGCAGGCAATGTCATTTTACTAATTTAACTTCTTTCTGTGTGTAATGGAGGATACATTTCCTTTGGAGAAAAGGTAAATCTGTGGAGACATATCAATAATTTTGTGTATTATTTTTGACTCTTTTTTTAGTTTTACGTAACTTATTTACTTTTGGACATTCCCACCACGTGTGTGAAAGTATGCCTTCCGCCTCACTCCCTCCAGCATTGATCCACTAATATGGGTCTCATGTAAAACTCATGTGACAGGTGTGAAATAGCACTGTATTAACCCCTTAAGGACCGAGGACGGTTCAGGACCGTCATCGGCATTTTTGCCTTGCCGACCGATGACGGTCCTGAACCGTCCTAACGGTCTGGGGTACTTACCTGATCGCCGTCGTTCCCCCGGCGGCGATCAGTGTTCCTCCGGTTGTGGGGAGACTGCCTGCAGCCCAGACAGTCTCCCCGCGGCGGAATAGGACCTGTGGCCCATGTGATGCGGCAACACAGCGTCACGCGCGGGCCTAATAAGGTAATCCCGTAATGTGTCTGCCTGCAGGGGACTGTCTGTGCTGACAGGCAGTCTCCCTGCTAGTGTAAAATCAGAAAATAAAATAAGAGTTAGTATTTAATTAAAAAATATGTAATAATTATATATGTGTATATATGATATATAGACATATATTATATCTATATAATATATGTCTATATATCATATATATAATGTTCATATAAGTGTATTTTTATATTAATATGTACTTATATTAATATAAAAATACACTTATAATGTAATTACACGCATTATATATATAATATATATAATAACTATATATATATATATTGTATATATATATTATTATAAAATATAAATAAGAAGTAATTTAAATTAAATAAAAAAAATTTAAAATAATAATAAAAAAATTATATCTATATGAAATTTTATTCTAACTGTATTTTAAAATTAATATATATATATTTATATCAAAATACACTTAGAATGAATTTGTATATATATCTATGTATATAAAATAAATAAAAATAATAAGAAATATACATATGTCCATATACAAAATTACATAAATAATTATATAAATATACACGTAGACTTCAAATATATAAATAGCTTGCATATATATTTACCCCAAATTCTAGATGCGTATTTATATAATATTTTACATAATTCAGTAATTTTATTGGTGCAATTTGAGGACCTGCCAACCCAGGCGAAATTCAGAATTTAATTTGCTAGCACTGTATTTTACCCTGTAGCGTTCTACGACACCCTAAAACCTGTACATGGGGGGTACTGTTTTACTCGGGAGACTTCGCTGAACACAAATATTAGTGATTCACAACAGTAAAACATATCACAGCGATGATATTGTCAGTGAAAGTTACTTTTTTTGCATTTTTTACACACAAACAGCACTTTTACTGCTTATATAATTGTTGTGATACATTTTCCAGTTTTTAAACACTAATATTTGTGTTCAGCGATGTCTCCCGAGTAAAACAGTACCCCCCATGTACAGGTTTTATAGCATTTTTGAAAGTTACAAGGTCAAATACATGGGTCAAATATTTTTACATTGAAAATGGCCAGGTTGGTTACGTTGCCTTGGAGAGCGTATGGTAGCCCAGGAATGAGAATTACCCCCATGATGGCATACCATTTGCAAAAGAAGACAACCCAAGGTATTGCAAATGGGGTATGTCCAGTCTTTTTAGTAACCACTTGGTCACAAACACTGGCCAAAATTAGCGTTCAATTTAGTTTTTTTACTTTTTTCACACACAAACAAATATGAATACTTACTTTGGCCAGTGTTTTCGACTAAGTGGCTACTAAAAAAAGACTGGACATACCCCATATTGAATACCCTGGGTTGTCTACTTTAAAAAAAATATGTACATGTGGGGTGTTATTCAGAGATTTATGACAGATAATAGTGTTACAATGTCACTATTGATCAATTTTAAAAATGTATGTTTTGAAACCGCAATATCCTACTTGTACCTATAGCCCTATAACATGCAAAAAAAAAGCAAAAAAAGCACGTAAACACTGGGTATTTTTAAACTCAGGACAAAATTTTGAATCTATTTAGCAGTTTTTTTAATTCGCTTTTGTAGATGAGTAAAAGATTTTTCAAGTAAAAGTCAAAAAACATGTATTTTTTCAATTTTTCATCATATTTTTTTATTTTTTTTAAATTAAAATACATGAGATTATATAAATAATGGTATGTAAAGAAAGCCCCTTTTGTCCTGAAAAAAACTATATATAATTTTGTATGGGAACAGTAAATGAGAAAGCGGAAAATTACAGCCAAACACAAACACCACAAAAGTGTAAAAATATTCCTGGTCGCAAATGTACAACATCGCAAAAACAGTCCAGTCCTTAAGGGGTTAACATTTTTGTACACCTGTTTAAAAATATTCAGTTTCATTGTCTTCTAATGAGGCCCCCTATATTTGTTCTTCAGAGACATAAGATAACAGTAGCTATCTTGGACCAAAGGTGTACAGTTGTGATAGTCTTGTAATTCCCTGTAGACTGATTTACACCAGGAAGTCTGTCACTTCAGGTTTACCAGCTAAATTGCTAATCTGAATAGATTTTTGGGAATGAGGTGCCCCCTCACTGAAGGGTATCCTAGCAGTCCACTTCTCCTTGCTGATTGAAGTCCTGATAATTCTGGATGCCCATTTCCACCAGATCTCGGAAGGCAGCAGCAACTATTCCTGGAGGAAAGGATGTATTCTGTAATAAAGGGTACGTGGGAGATGGACACAAGTTTAGGGTGTAGGGCTGTCGTACGGATATCTTGTGCTGCTGGGCACTTGACTCAATGCAAGGCTCTGGATGACTTAGGAATGTAGAGTAGAATATGGGGAAGGTCCTGATTAAAATATCATATACCCATATGCCTTATAGGAGCATGACAAGCATACAGTGAGGGAAAAAAAAGTATTTGATCCCCTGCTGATTTTGAACGTTTAATGGCACCATTAAAATTAAAGACTGATCATTTTTTTGTCAGTGGACAAACATTCAAAATCAGCAGGGGATTAAATACTTTTTTCCCCTCACTGTATATTAAATGGGTCTAACAGAGCAGTAATACAACTGGAGGAAATGTCCAAACCTCTTCTAAATTTGAGTGCAGTCGGGATATGCCCACTATTCCTGATCTTCTACTTTTCCATGTAAAGGAATTAATCAAGCCTTGCAAAGATTACACCTGGTAGAACCTTGAAATAATATATATATATTTTTAATGAAGTTGTGTCATCTTAACAGCCCTGTCAGTAATTTACCTACCTAGACCATATAGCTGGGTCTAGATTCAGAGCACTAACTATATTTCAAATGTTTGGATTTTCTTTGCAGCACAGAGATGCCATATTTTTATAATTTAGCCTACAGCACATTTGGTCACCTTTTGATACTGTTCTGGAGTACTTTTTTTTTCCAGAAGATTCAGCCAATCATTTGTCTGAGTGACTTCAGAAGGCTGCAGGAAGACCTGGGAACACAGACACTAGGGGGCACTGAGACACTAGGGTTAACTGTGAGACATGGGGACAGTGAGAGACTTGGGGACACGAAGATATTGGGACACTGGGAGACATGGGGACCCTGAGACACTAAGGACACAGTGGGCCCATGTCTCCCAGTGGCCCCTAGTCTGTGTCTGTCACCCAGTGTCCCCAAGTGTTTGTGTCCCCAGGTCTCCCAGTGTTACCTAGTGTTCTCCCAGTGTCCCATGGGACACTGGGAGACACGGGGACACACACTAAGGGACTGGGGGACATGGGGACACCCCCTTTTTGGGTATGTTTGCCCCTTTTGGCAGTTTTGCTAATGTGATTTGCATCAGTGGCCCACCCTTTTACCCCGTCCATAGACTTCCTACTTTACTGGACACTGTGGTTAGGGGGTATAGATTTACTTTTAAGATGAAAGCGTGAGATTAGCATAGGGTATGTGTTTTGTTATAGCTGCATCCTATGAGTTTCCCTCCAGCACCATCTCCATCAGATACATGAAGCTTGGGTGGTAGGACTGTTTGTGTTTTTGGTCGATATGATTTTGTGATTAGGCCCATCATAATTGTCAGTACCAGGCCCACTGGGCTCTTAATCTGGCCCTGGTGGCAGTCATACAGGAATCTTATGTGCAACCATAGAGGGTTATATTGTGTGTTTTGATTTGATCTGACTACTTCTACATTAAAAATGTTAAACACTGTATTTAAAAAAAAAAAAAAAAAAATTTTTTTTTACTTACTGCACAGCAATTGGCAACTCATTATAAAACTGCATTTCTATTTGGGAAGCGATTGGCGTCTTAATGCAGAGCTTAGATGCCGATCATCTTTTATGCAATGAATGTACCAGGAAGCACCCTCTTGTAGCTGTCTGTTTATATTCCTTTAATGGATTTAGTTTTTTTTAAATGATCATAAAAATCAATAAAGATTTACATTTAGTTATAAAAGTGTCATGAGTGAGTCAGTCGTTGCCAAAACAAAATTATACTAATATAGACAGGAAGAGGTGTCTGATTCAGCTAGGCTAGCTTATAGCTTGTGTCAGTGTGAGAGCGAAAAGACTATGCAGATAGCCATTGGTTTGACATGGAATTTTTATTTTTAAATTTTAAGACCACAATTCCCAACATGTGGTACGCATTCCACTGGGGGTACAAACCAGTTCCTTTAGGGGTAGGCGCAAAATCTATAAAGTGAAAATCTGTAAGGACTCGTTCACTTAGGGCCACCCAGTTGACATGTGACCTCAAGGGCCAAGTTGTGCACTGCGATGGTTTAACAGCACGACGAGGCCCTTTTAATGTGTTAGCGGGGAAGAAGTGACCGGTTAGCACAGAGCACTGCGTGGGAGTGAGAAAGTCAGAGAGGAAGGGGCATTCTGGCAGTTCAAAACCCTAACTCCCAACAGCCCCAGGCAGCAGAAGTCACCCTCCTGCACTGAAATTGTGGGGAAATGGAGGATGGCTAAATGTTTGACCTGTATGTGTCTGCATCTGCATGGGTGGCAGTTTCTCTTTGTGGTGTCTGTGTATCTGCATGTGTGGCAGAGGAGGAGTAGTGAGAGCCTAGGGTGAAGGAAAAAAAAAAGATGGGGCAGTAAACAAACATTTGAAATAATATTAAAAAAATATTGTCATTCCTTTTTTTTTTTTTTTATTGTGGTTCTTGCACAATACAGATCGTGAGCATTACCAGAAATTAAAGAACATGTTTAAAAATGAAATGCCTTAATTTTATAATTATAAACTCAAGATATATACAACTAGCTAAGCAATACATTGTGTCGAAAAGTAGTAGTGGATTTTAGTTTGGATCTAGATATACAATAATATCCATTTCGGAAAGACTTGTATGAAAAGGGATTATGGTTCCTAAACGTTATATTGGGGGTGGGTAGTTACAGTTCGGGCTGACTGGAGCCATCTTTGTAAGCTCAATTAGCATAAGTATTGTCTGATATCTAATGGAGAGAAGAACCCTACAAGTGCCAGCAGTAAAAACACAAAATCCGCTGACAAAGGTTATAAAAGCAAAGTAAAAAGCATAAATGCCACAGATGAGTGCGAACTGGTTGAGGCAAAAACAATGAACTGCAGGGGCAGGTTAGACACGGAGCTCTTCAACCATTTCCATCAGCACTTCTTAGTGTAAACAGCACCACATTAGCAATTTCCCAAGTAAGCAGCTAGGTTGCAAGCTTGGGGAAGAGAGTTCATGTAGGCCTAGAACCCTAGCGAGGTTGTCCAACCTGTGTTCCTTGCCCTCAGGCGATGAGTAGGCCCATTTCCCATGACCTGGAAATGCTGGGTGATAGGGTCGTCCTCAATGCGAAAGTTGCCCTGCTAAGGTCTCCAAAGAAGGACAGGCTGGAGTTTTCAAAGTCCAGTGGTTGCTTAGCTTGGACTGTGACATTCACCACCCTGTTTTCGTCCACAAAACAGAATACACCATTGTCCCGCAGAGGAGCAGCTGTGGGTCCTAAACAGGCCTACTCTGAACACTCCAGGAGTACCGATTTTGCCTGTTTAGATGGCAAGTAAACATACTGGAGCAGTTCATCCATGCCAGCAGCACTCTCCACTTGACTGATAGTCATATTGCGCCGTCTCATAGAATCTTTCAGGCTACCACCTGGTGAGTGAGGCCGACCTATTGCTGCGTTAATTGCTGGGTAAGTAAGGGGTTGTTAAACTGGGCCTGGCAGGCATCTGTAGATATCCTCTTCCACAGCCTTTATCAGGCCTGTGAGGGTATGCACTTCTCGAATCAATGCACAGTCAGCATGGAATATTTTGCTCAGATCTTGCAGGAGGCTTTTAAGATCAGCCTTTGTTGGCGGACCATTTTTGCTATCCCGTTAGAGCAGGCACCTGGACCATAGGGATCCGGTCCGGAGTGTCGTATTCCTATCCTCAGAGGAGGAGGAAGGCGTTCTCTGCGCAGGGCCATCTTAGGCCGTGGACTGGTGTGTAGCAGATCCCCAGGATCCATCTCTTCTGTCTGGTTGAGGCTTATGATTTTTTTTTTTTAAACTTCTCATTAAAAAGGGTATTTCTACAGAACTGATACTTACACAACTGTTACATGTAATGCTTTTAACCGTTTCTTTTTTTCCTTTCCTTTTTCTTTTTAATTATAAGGATAGCCACAAGAGGGAGCTATATATCTATTGAATTGGGGACAATCGTGCAACATGCTTTTTTCTCCCACTGCTTAAAGATCACTTGGTCTGTCTTATATTTAACACCAAGAGCAAAGAAATTAAAATGAAATGTGCAGAGGCCTCTCCTCTCCCTGTTTTTGCAGATCTATGCACAAACCGCTATGAATCAGATAGGTAGGCATGCCAAAGCCCACAGGCTAATATCTACACATAATGTATTGTTTCTTAAATGTAATTGTTTAACAAACGGATTATATTATTGTAACATTTATGGAAACCAGCCTTTCTCCACAGAGTTAAATAAATATGCTTTGTTCATTGCCTTTGATGAGACGTTTAAAACTCCATACCATATGGTTATTAGCACGAACCGTTGGCCAAAAAACATTAAAAAAATTCAAGTTCGATATTTTGGCCTTAAATGAACATTATATTGTGTTAAGTGTTTTTTTTATTTCGTATGCAAATTTATAGCAGACGTAAACTGGGTTTAACCCCTTAAGGACACATGACATGTGTGACATGTCATGATTCCCTTTTATTCCAGAAGTTTGGTCCTTAAGGGGTTAAACGATCAATGCACCGATGCCTACGCAGAGGCTCCGTATGTCCAGCAAAGGTAAGTGTATATGAGCCTACGCAGAGGCTAAAGAAGGCATTACTCTGAAATATCTTAAATCTGTACGTAGTGAGCATGCAATATCAGAGTTGCTTATGAGGAAGGCATATTACTTAGAAAACCACAGTTAACCATATGTAAGTAAAATTTCTAACATATCATGGGTTAAACAAATAGGAAAAAGCATAGGTGCTATAAGTAGGCATATATAGGCATAACCTCTTTAGAGGATTGCCTAAAGAAGTAATGAAGCGTTCAGGAGTATCGCTTAAGTCAAGGGTACTACTCCGCTTACGTTAGCCTGGGGGATCCAATTAACGGCTTAGCTGTACAACCTGGCACTTGTGGCATGATACCAATGGGTAGTAGCACCCGGAATATTTGTGGTTAAAACAATGAGGTGAGGGTCTTGTGGTAGAAAGCATGGGTTTAAGTCCCTACCGGTAGGATAGAAACTAAACTATACAATAAGTATAGAAAAGAATACATGTACATGGATACTAATCGCCCAAACGTTACGGTACCAATGGGTAGTGTCATCTGAAACATTCGTATTTGGTACAATGTGGGGGAAAGCATGGGATTGAGTCGTTACTATTAGGGTAGAAACTAAACTGTACCATAGAAAGCAATACACATACATGGGATGAGGGACTTGAAAAATGGGGGGTAAGACCTATTGCGTGTCGGTTCCCTCTTGGGTACCAAGTGGGGTGCATCTCAATTCATTGCCATCATGTAGATTACTGAAAGTGTGTTGGGTAATTAGTCAGAAACTGGTACGTATGTGTGTTGCTGTGGATACCTGAAGGTCCTGTTTCTCGTCTCGGGGGAGGTGGTGGGGTGTAGGTTATAGAACATTATATTGTTAGGAATACAAATATGTATTCCGAATGCTATAGTTCTCTAGTCACTTTTTCGTGACTGGGCCAGCGCTGCCAGGGTTAATAAAGACATTTAAATTTTTCTGCCTCACAGCGTCTGTCTCCTTCGTGAAGCTCCTCTATGACGGAGTTTATCAAAGTTGATGATCTCAGCCAATCCAATGCTTTCCCGTAGGAAAGCATATGAAGGCTAGTGCACATGTGCAGCAAAACTCTGAGCTGCACCAATCCGATATATATATATATTTGTATATATATATCTTTCAAAAGTAAGGGCAGCGCTACTCTCTCACATTCTTATTATGAAAAATAACAGTGATGAAGACAAATACATGTTTTATATCTGTACATAATAAAGGAATGGGTGATATTTTCACAGGTAAGTGGCCAGGGCATTGGAGAACCCTGTCCATACAGTAACCTGTATCTGTTAGATTATTCAGAGCAGGAAAATGGCCAAACCACATTCCGGCTACATCGGGACTGATTTACCAAATACTGTCATTCACCTTCCCCCCTTCTGCATTTCTTTGTTTTTTTTTTTTTTTTTTTTTAGACGTTACTGTATCCTATCCATAAAATAATTTTGTTCCACGTCTTGCCAAGACTGACACTAGCAGAAACTCCCTTTTATCTTCTAGAGATTTTTCCTTTCAAGTGCTTCCTTTATTTATTTTATCCTCCGGCAATAGTAGGAGATGATTGAGTTGTCACTATGTAACCATTTATACCTGGTGATTAAAATGGCTTGTCTAGTTTATTATGTAAACCACTAATGCATTTCTCATTACTTACATCTGTTGAGATCTTCATTCTATTTCACACAGCAGAAAAATAAAATAAAAATGTAAGCCGAAATGCACATTTAAACCAATAAAATGCAAATTTAAACCAATATTTTTAACCTCAAAATATAACCATCTTATGCAATCATCAAAATATAGGTTTCAAACACATTATTATTATTGCCGT